TCAGTCTAATTTCAATGGGATCTCCTCTATTATAGTACTCAGAGTGCAGTGTAAATATTTTTTATATGACTGTCTCACACACTAGGCTGGGAGTTCATCCCTACATCCCAAGCACCTGGTATATATAGGGCCTAACATAGACTATAAACTCAATAAATACATGTTAAATGAGCCATCTCGCCTTCTGATGTAAGCCTTGATGCATTCTGAATTATAGGCACCAGAAACGATGCTTTTAGTCTTACCTCATACACCCTGTATCGAACAATGTCATTTGTTTCCATTACACTTTTCAAATCATCCAGCAGATTACTTTCAAATAAAGCCTCCAGTCCAGCCTGGGTCAGTGATATTCTTGACAGGGATTTAATGGCCTTATAAGGAAAGGAAATATCTCTTGAGTCATAAAAATACCAAACTGTACTTTCTACTTCATAAGATTTATGTGAAAGTTAGTGTATGGAACGCAGCTTACCCAAGGAGCATTCACTACATTTTAGCTATAATTACTTATAATTGGAAAAAACACATAGTATTCCCAACAGAAAATAGAAAAAGCTTCTTATCAAGCAACCCAATGTAAGCTCTATGATGGTTAATTTAGAAATGTGCATTCTAGAAAATAAAAGGGGTTTACTAGTTTTATTTTGATGCCATTTATTTATTTCATACCATCGATATGAGGCTGCAAATTCTATTATGCAAATCATTTATTCTAAACCTCCACCTCTCAGTCCAGAAGGCCTTTCTGTCTTTTAGGACATTAATGTCTCTGCATGTTTAGGCTAACGGTTGTAGCTGACTCACCGCTTTAGCTACAGATAGATTCTCTCCACCAATACAATAAATGATTTGTTTTAATAATTCAGCATTATTTAGAATCTCAGTAACAGCATCAGAATTTTCAACAATTCTTCCAACCTGAAAGGAAAAAAACAATCAGAAATACTCTTCCAAGGTAGGGCAACATGGAAACACATGATGGTCAAATTTCCTTAGTGTGCGGTTATTTTAGGAGTTACTAACTACAGCTATGAGTCATTAAAAAATTCCAAATGACCCAAATTCATTAAAGCCAAACACACAGATGGTATAGTCACATCTTTGAAAAGAAAGAAAATATAAAACAAAACAGGTGAGTTAAGACTTGAGACACCTCAGTGAGTGAAAACAATACAAATCTTAGTTCTACCAACTTTCAGTTCTTGATCTTGAGCAAATTAAATAACTTTTTTTGAGCCTTATTTCTTGTCTGTAAAATGGGAATACAATACTTAACTGCAGGACAGTAATAAAGATTAAATGAAACTAAATAGGTAAAGCACCTCCTACAGAGTTTTGCACATAAATGGTCAATGGATAAATCGATCCTTTCTCCTTTTCTTGAATAAATACTTTAGAGAAAAAAAGAAAAAACAGTAGTTGAACATCTAGTGGATAACTAACTGCTCAGCTTCTATCCCTTCAAGATAATCCTCGGCAGCAGCTCTTCACCCAAACACTAGCATGTTTGGTTACCAGGGTGGTAAGAGTTACTGTCTTAATTTGTTGGTATAGTGACCTTTATAATAGTACTTCACTCATGCCACTATAATAAGACTTACCATGGCAATCTTTCTCTCTAGACTAGGGGCTCCTTGGAGGAAAGAAACAGGCTTTATTTATCTTGGTAGCTCTAACAGCATATGGTACAATGCCTGATAAAAGGAGCTCAGTATTTGATGACTAGCTGATTCAGACGGTACTCAGTGGAACTTCTTACTTTAGCTTGTAGCTGCTGGTTATAGTTAGCTACGCATACTAGAATAGACTAGATACTCCCTACACAGAGAGCACATGTTTTCTTCACCTCTCTGTATTTGGCTCCCAGCATACACCCTGGCCCAGGGCAGGTTGTCACTAAATGTTGATCCCCTTATTATGTGCTAGTAAAATTTCATACCTGGGACAGAGTGAGGATTTTTACAGAATCATTGGGGTGAGTCAGTCCCCTCTGCAGGTCAACCCTGAGGTTCCGGGCCATGTGAACTGGCTCCAAAGCTTGCAGCAATCTCTCCAGGATGGATACACACAAAGTAGTCTGTTCCCTAAAAGAGACACCACAGATCTCATCAATTCATGTCCTACCAGGTAGGAAGCAACAACCTAATATCTGACATCTAGCTTAATGAGGCTCTTCTCCACCCAGACTTCCCTTTGAAACACCAGCTTCTACTAGTTTATTCAAATTTACCTAGTACCAGGCTTCCCTGGTGGTGCAGTAGTTAAGAATCTGCCTGCCAATGCAGGGGACACGGGTTCGAGCTCTGGTCTGGGAAGATCCCATGTGCCGCGGAGTAACTAGGCCCGTGCGCCACAACTACTGAGCCTGCGTTCTAGAGCCCACGAGCCACAACTACTGAAGCACACGAGCCACAACTACTGAGCCCACACACCGCAACTACTGAAGCCTGCGCACCTAGAACCCGTGCTCTGCAACAAGAGAAGCCACCGCAATTAGAAGCCCGCACACCACAACTAAGAGTAGTCCCCGCTCGCCGCAATTAGAGAGAAAGCCTGTGCACAGTAACGAAGACCCAATGCAGCCAGAAATAAATAAATTTACTAAAAAAAAAAGATTCTAGGTTTACATCTATCAGAAAAGATCTCGAACCAATATATAGTGCAGGAAAACAGCAATATATCTAGAGACTGCCAATCCACTATCCAGAGAATTATTCCCACAAATTGCAATTGGTATCTACAGTGTACTAAGTTCTGAATTACCTTGTCTTTAAATTTCCATTAAAATTGTTTCCTAGAGAGCTGCTCCTTCATTCAGCAAACCATGACCCCACAGACCTTATTCTTCAAACTCCCCTTCATTTCAGTTCCTAGTGCATCTCTGGTGTTAACTTATAGATCACTGAAAGTCTCTTCATCTATAAAATGAAGTGGTTGGACTAGGTGGGCTCTCTAAAATTTATGAGTTTAATCTTTTATTTGGCATATATTGTATTATGTGCTTCATCCTAAGAGGGATGCAGAGATGAATTCTTCAAAGAATTTACAAACTAGACAGAAACACATATGGAATTACAACATAAGGCAATAGTGTCATGTATTATTAAGAGAAGTAATGATAATGTCCTTTAGGAGATCTAAGGCCAGTCACTTGCAACTGGAGTGACCAAGAAATACTTTTTGGAGGGGGTGGCACTTCACCTGGGCCTTAAAAGATGGACAGATTTGGAGGGGAAGGCATTTCAGTTAGAAGGACTGGCATGAACAAAGTTAGGAAAGTGCCAAGTCATGCTCAAGGGAAAGTAGTGCCACTTGGTAGCTGGAGCAGATGAAATATGTGTAGAGTGGAAAAAGATGAGGCTGGAAAAGTAGGATGGAAATATATTGTAAAGGTCAAAGTGCCAGACTAACAAGTCATGATTTTACACTGGAGGCAATGGGAAACCATGGCAAAGATGTGAGCCAAATATCCTGAGAAGTTCCCTGTGGTTGCAACGTGGGAAGGACACACTAGAAAAGGAAACTCAGAGGTAATGAGAAGTCAGACTAATGCAACAGACCTAGCGAGAGGGAGAAAATGAAGGCCTGAATTAAAATGGACAAATAGAGATTTCATAGGCAGACCTGAATAATGTTAATTAACAGAATTAATGAAGGGAGAACACATATGAAAAAGGGAGGATTCTTAGAAGGTCAGAGCCAAGAAAGCCCTCTGAAATCATCCAGTGTTGATTCAGTGATTCACTGTCTTTTCAAGAAGAAAGGCCACTTTTAAATTTCTGGATCACAAACATTTAAAAAGTCTTTTAAGTTATCAGATGATCAAATACAAAGTGTTTTTAAATCAAACACCACAGATGTACATAAAATGAAAAGTAAAAGTTGCCATCCTACCATTCTAAGTCCCACTACCATATTAATAGTTACTGATGTATCTTTCAGCTATTCCAAAAGCTACACTGGCCTGTGTTCAAGTGGGTGTGGGAGGGTGGTAATCCTTTTTAAAAATTACACATAACGGGATTATAAACTCCTACAATTTTCTTCTTTCATTCAGCAACATATATTAAAGATCCTTCTATGTCCACATATATAGATCTACCTCAATTTTCCTAATAGCTGCATAGTATTACAGTCATGTGTCATAATTTAAGAATCCCCTTTTAATAGATATTCAGGTGGTTCCGTTTTTTTGTTTTGTTTTTTTTTTTGCTGCCTCCTTCTGTTATGAATATTCCTGTATATACAGTACATTTTGTGTGTGAGTAAACCTGCATGTTAAATTTCTGTAACAGGGGATTACTGGATCAAGGTATGTGAATTTAAAATATCGATGGATCCTTCCAAATTGCCAGGATAGGACCCCTTCTTAAGAGGTGGGAAAAAGTCAAGGACTTGGATACGTGGTTGTGGAGTCCCCCCCGTAGGTGGGCAACCTTGCTTTCCTCCTCCTATTCCAAGGATGAAGGCAGTGAGGCTAGGCGACGGCCACCTCAGAGCCTGGGCTTGAACCCCGTCTCTCGCCTCTCAGCCCGGGATCCTTCCCTCTCTGAAATTTCAGCGATATTCAACCTTCACTGTGACTGGGAAAAGCCTCCCCCGTCACCACCACCCCCATCCCCGTCTCCATACTTGGGGGTGTCGCTCTCCCCCGCTCAAGCTGCCGGGTCATCTCACCGATGGTTCTCGTTGAGCAGGGAGAAAAGCGGGCTAAGGCGCAGTTCCGCCGCTTGCTCGCGGAGCTCGCTGAGAGGCACCGACTGCAGCACCGACTGCAGAGCGCGCAGCTCCTCCAGCGGCGCTTCCAGCCGAGACACCTCCCTCAGAAGCGACAGCGCCTGGGCCGCCATGATGCCCCCTCCCGCCCGGGCTCGCCAGTCAACTCTCCCAGCTCCCGGGTCCCGGCGCGCTTTTCCAAGCCTCGCGAGATCTGCTCGGCGCAGACTCCCTTCCCCGAGTTTTGGCTGGGCCAAAACGGCCCGGGCTGCACCAATAGAGTTGCGGAGCTGCCGGGCAGCGCGCGCTCGGGGGCTGCCAAGCCTCGCGAGAGCAGGGCTGACTAGAGTCGCCGGTGGTTAGGGGGTAGCATCATGGCGTTGTGTTGAACGCTGCTCAGTTGGTCCTGCCGTCCGACTCTCCGGTTGGTTTGCTTCTGTCTCACTGAGAGCGAAGGCTGGGTAAATGCCTGGCAAGCGGTGTGGTGAGAATGAGGACCAGCCAAAGGTTGAACGGCCTTGGGGGCGGCCCCCTGGCTCTAAAACCAGGCTCAGCAGCGGCTCTAGTGGACGCCGCTGCGGCTTGGGCAGGGGCTTAGGCCGCCTGGGGCGGGGCGGAGGCGGTGGGTATCCTGCTCCCGGGCCAGACACGTATTAAGAGGAGGCGGAGGGTCATGTGTCTGGAAGACGAGATGAAAATTCTCGAGAAGCTGGAAGAAGGGTTTGCGCACCCTTAAGCAAAACGAGGAGGCGGTCAGGACCAGCATGGAGAGTGTTTCGCCCGTCTGCTCCTAGGTGCTGTGCATTCCTCAGGACGTAAACATCGAGAAGATGGAGACGAATTAATCTTCGGGGTCTAGGATTAGACCAAAGGAGGAGGGGGCAGCCTGTGACGCTGAAGGCCATCTGCAGCCAGGCCAAACGGGTTTACATGCAACTGGTGGAAACCACTGGCAAGGGCAACCCAGAGAAGTTTCATGCGAGCAAGGGATGGTTGGAGAAGTTTAGAAATCGCTATAGGCTGCTGAATTCGAGGTTGATAGGGGAGGAAGAACCGTTAAATGCCCAGTCGGCACCCACGTATTTCAAGCAACTCCAGAAACTGATCAGAGTTAGTGGCTTTGTACCTCAACAGGTCTTCACCGCCAAGCAGATGAGCCTGTTTTGGAAGTGCTTGCCTTCGCGTACTTTTGGGGAAAAAGACAAAATTCTGGAAAGCTTAGAGGAAGCTAAGGACCAGATTTCTTTCAATTTTTGTGCCAGTGCCGCCGGTGACAAAACCATGGCTGCTTTATGAAGCAGCACCTGTTTTATGGAAAAAAATATAAAACGCCTTCCTATTTTCCGGCGATCACTAACAGTATCATTAACAGCTGCCCTCATTTTGGGTTGGCTTCGTAATTGTTTTATTCATTGAACCTGGAGTTATTTAACAGAAAAAAATCTTGCCTTCAGAGTGTTACTGTTTTCGGACAGAGGTCTCAGTCACCCAGACTCCATTCTTTGCTCATCCCAATGATGATCTTGTGTTTCTTCATCTGGAGGGCAGTAGCTATCTTAAGCCCTTGGATCAGGGTATAATTGAAGCATTCAGGAGGTAATACACCAAGCATATGTTGGACTACTTTGCCGACTTCTTGAAAAAAACCCTTGCCTCACTTTGAAAGAAACACGGCAACAGTACAACTTTAATGATGCTTTGGTAGTAATAAAAGAGGTGATGGATGATATAAAAACCAGCCTCCCTTAATAAAGCTTGGTGGAACCTTTGGAATGATGTTGTGAATGATTATGCATGTTTCCCTAGAGCTAATGAAGAAGTTGAAAAAAATCATAGAGTCTGAAAATGGATGGGCTTTAAATTCATCGATATTGATGAAAGTGAAATTAATAAGCTACTTAAGTTTCAAGCTTTGGCAATAACAGAGAGTCTATATCTGTAGATGAGGAAGAAGGCAAATCTCTGGAACCAGAGAGAAAGTTGAACTTAAGGAAACAATTCTGTCTTACACCAGGTGTCAGACCTCATTGAAGCTGCAATTGATCTTTACTGGATTGAAGTTTGGCCTTTAAAGATTTCAGTAAAGTGTTGTATACCTGTAAAGAGGCCCAAAAGAACCTTCAAAATAAAGCAAAGGAGATGAAGAAAGAGAAGGAAGACACAATAAAGAGGAAGTAGTGTGGGTGAAAGAGATGGGTACAGAATCTGACTCTGAAGAGGATTCTGAGTCCATATCTGAATCCAGTAAGGAGGAGGAGAGAAAGAGGGTAAGAAGCCTCCAGAAGAAGAGCTTATAATCTCAGGCAGTGGCACTGAGGCTCTTACTAGAGCTGAAGAATCTGCCAAGGCCATAAATGCAGAATTGGACTTTTTGAATCTAACCTTGGAATTGAATCTGAAGAGAGTAGAAGTGCCTGAGTTGAAGTAAGAAGAGAATCCAGAAGCGGTTTCTTCCAAATAACAGTTCATCTCTTGCCATCCTTCCCCTGCTGCCCCAGCATCGCCTTCATCATGACCATCCTTATAATCACCAAATCAACAAACATTTATTGAGCATAATCTCTGTGGGATCCTGTGCTAAACTCTGGGACATCATCTCAGGATCTAAGGTAAAATGGTCATTAACAGTGGCCTTTCTTATTAATGTAATAGATTTAAAAGATCATAGCCTTGATTTATTTTAGTGGACTTTGAATATAAAGCGTTTTTTTTTTAGGATCACTCAGCCTCATTTTCTCTAACCCTGTTTTTTTCACACACGCTAAGTTTTTCAATCACAAATGGAGATTTTTCTGAGTTAACCTTGTTTGGTAGTTGACATGAGACTACTTGCTCATGAAACGCTGACATGGTCTTACATTTTATAAAGCACTCTTATATTAATCTTCTCTGTTAATCCTCACTTTAAACCTATGAAGGAGGTATTAGCCCTTCCTTTACCAAAAAACCCCCAAAAAGCTCAGAGAGGTTAAGCTATTTGCCTGAGGCCACATAGCTATTGATGTAAATGATAGGACTAAGGCTACAGCTGACTTTGTTAGACACTTTGCCAGGAAGTGTATCAGGCCTTTAAGAATTTATAGTCCCAAGGAATGAGACAGACAGGTAAACAGGTAATTAAAATAAACACAGAGGCTGTGAACTGGCAGCATGCAGGCCAATTTAGCTAACAGGTGTGTTTTGTTTTGTCTGCCCAGTTTAAAACAATTTTGAATTGGTTTTCAGCATTCCCCCCTCCTTTGTTTAAGGTACTATTTACATACAACACAATTCACCAATTTAAGTGTATAGTTTGTTGAATTTTTTACTGTTTGTGTAACCACTACCACAGTCAAACTATAGAATAGTTTCCTTGGCTTAAAATTTACTTATGACCTTGTGTATTCAATTTCTTCCCCTGAAGTGTTGTCATTTAAAAATTAAGATATTTCACATTAAAAAGCTGGATTAAAAAATTGGAAACCCTGACAACAGTGGACTCTGCATCCCCAAAGGGCAACAGTCAGTCCTTAGCTTGCTGCTTTTAAAGATTTGTTTAATAGTTGATGTTAAATGCTGCAACGGAAGTGTGGACAAAGTGCCTTAGGGGAAAGAGAGGACTGTGGGGATTAACCTTGGGAAAGACTGCACAGAGCAGCTGGCCTGGAAAGACGAATGAGTTCACGGGGAGAGCAATGAGGAGCCAGAGTGTGTGCTCTAAGCCAGAGAGGATTAGAAGGGAGGTCCTAGGAGGAGAGAGTGATGTGTGGGGGACAGGGGAGGGAAGGCAGCCACGTGTGTGCTTCATTTATTTGGGTTTATTTGGTGGGATGGTCCTCTACAGCGGTCCCCAACTTTTTTGGCACCAGGGACCGTTTTCGTGGAAGACAGTTTTTCCAGGGACTGGGGCGGGGGTGGGGGGGTAATGGTTTCGGGATGATTAAAGCGCATTCCATTTATCGTGCACTTTATTTCTATTATTATTACATCAGCTCCACCTCAGATCATCAGGCATTAGATCCCGGGCGTTGGGGACGCCTGCAAAGTGGAAGAGTTTTGTGTATGTGTATTTGTGTTTGGGCTGACGATTTTATATATCTAAGAAACTTAGGTCTTTTAATCTGTACATCTCTGGGGATTTTATGGGTTTTTTTGTATGTGTATGTTAGAATGGGAAGGGAAAATTAGTATTTTTACTTTTGCAGGGGTTGGAGGTTTGCATATGGTGCTTGGGTTGTATGTTTCCAGAAGGAGAGTTGCCCAGTGAAAAATTACTCCCTCTTTCCCCGCCCCCTCCACTATCTCCTTCCGGCCAGCCTGGCTGGGACCTGGCTGGGCAGTGGGGCAGGCAGCAGGTGGTAAGGGGAGAGGCAGTTCAGGCCCTTCGTGCCCGCCCGTCAGCCAGCAACTCGGCCTCAGGCCACAGTTCCAATAGGCTGTGCTGCTAAATTACCAGCGACGCCATGGACAGGCTGGGCTTACGGTGCCCTTGGCCAGGCTACCCGCGGCCCTCTGTCCTTTTATGCCTTTTGGTGAGTGTTCCACACTACAATGCTATGAACCCTCTCACCTCTAAACCTCCAACCTGGGGACTGAGGGAAGAACGTGCATTTCTCTTTTACTCTTCCTGGGGTTTTGAGCTGGGGGCGGGCAGGTAGTGGGTGGGCGGTAGAATCCTTGGAGGCATCACCCTGTGTCTTGGAGATTGTGGTGTGAATGTGAAGATTACCAGCACCTCTTTATGCCCTGCCTTGTGAGGAGGAGTGACTGGGCTGTGTTTCACTGCCAGGGTCCTTGGGGTGGTGAGGGGTGTCTGCTGGTGAGTTATCATGTAAGGGTCACATGATAGGTTCTTTCCCTCTTTCCAGTGCAGTTACCGTCTCATTTTTCTGGGGGCTTTGTTTTCTCATCTCTGAAGTATGTTAAAATGTTAAGGTTGGCAGTGGCTACAGAGTCCCTACAGTGGTGCTGGTGCTCGCAGTGGGCGGGGGCTGAGTGGGGTGGGGTGCGGGGGTGGTGGAAGGGAGAGCTGTGTGGGAGGGCCACAAGCCTAGGGGTCTAGCCCAGCTCTGCTGCTCACTTTTTGGTGATTTCTTCCCCTCTCTGGCCCTTAATTAACTGGCACAAATCAGTGGCTCAACATTTTGGGGACATTTCTTGATTTTTTTTGTGTGTGTGTCTATGTGTGTGAGTGCAAGTCTGGATTTGCACCCAAGGAAAGTGTATAAACACAATGTCAATTTCAGAGTATTCACAGATTCCTTAAAACTAGATGGATTACAAATTTAGAACCACGGGGTGGTTTCTGAGGCCCCTTCTGCCTTCACACAGATAGTAAAGTCAACCATAATCTCTTAAAGGCTAGGCAAATACTGCAGGACGAAAAAAGAATGAAATAATTGAAAGGGTACATAAAATATTTTAAACGAATGTAAAATTAGAAAAGGTATATAGTAAAGACATAAATATGAAAATGCTATAAACTTACAGTAAATCTTTTCCCGTTATAATGTTTCTATTAGGGAATATGGTGATGTGTGTATTTTGCATTCATATAATATCACTTTCTAATATACTGTAGTCCACTTGTGGTTCTAAACCGACCTTTACATGCTTCTGATTCTTTGTTGATATGGTCCACAAACATTTCTCAAGCCCATACTCCTTGTCAGTGGGTTATAAAGTGCTGGGGATACAGAAATGTATGAGGCCAAAGAGCTCATGTCCAATGAGGGAGACGTATGTAAACAACTGTCTGTATTTCAGTGTGATTGATGGTACAATAGAAGGATGTTTAGCAGCAGTCCTGACCTCTACCCACTAGATGCCAGTGGCATCTCCTCCCCAATCATGACAATCAAAATTGTCCCTAGATGTTGCCAGATGTCCCCTGGGGGGAAAAATTGCCCCAAGTTGCGAGGCACTGGATTAAGTGAAGCTGAAATAAGCCCACTGTATGAATTCCTAGTCGTGCTCCTTGCAGTTCAGAGAGCCCAGAAAAGGAGGCAGGAGTCTTGGATTTAAGTCTTGCTTCTGTCACAGAATTTCTGTATGTTCTGCCTCAGTAACATTATCTGTTAAATGAAGGGTTATCTTAGATAATACCTGAGGGCCCAAAGTACCTCTTAGTATTTTTTGACTATGAGTTCATACAAGAGTTTCAATACATTTTAGGTGAGTTTATAGTTAATCCTGTTAGCTCAGTGTTACACTGATAACTGCTGGCCGAAATGCCCTAGATCTTCCTTAGGAATGTTTTTTTTGGTTGAGGGACAGACCATTACTCCTTTTGTTCAGAGTCTGTAAAGGAAGCCACCTTAGAGTCATGTAGTTGACCCCTTACAGTTTTTTAGTTTGTCCGATTCTCTGCCAAAAGCGCTGTGGGTGACCCAAAAGCCCTACTTACTTCAGAAGGCTATTTTGTCTCAATATCAACATCTTGCTGGTGTACTAATTCACCAGTCTACAAGTTATTTCTTGAGAACCTGCTGTGTGCCGTGAACTGTCCTGGGGACACAGTGATGAGTAAACCACAGTCCCTTCCTTTATTGGATTAGTGATTATATATTGTTTTTCCTATCTTGTTTGAACCCATGGCAGCTCTGAGGCAGGCAGCACAGATGTCATAATCTCCAGTTCCTAGATAACATTTATAGAAGGCAAAGGAAGTAACTTGTTGAAGACCACAGGCAGCAGTACTGGCGCTAGGATTTAAATCCTGCTCTTTAGTGCCTTTATTTTTTTCCAATATAATCTAATTGAGTTGTCACCAAAAGCTTCATTGAAAAGCCTGGTTCTTTTTTTTCTTGTGTGGTCACTGGTTTAGTTCAGAGGCCTAGTGTGTTGGATTGGAGGTGTTGGTGGAGGTAGTGGGAGGGAGTGAGAAACCCACCCCAGACAGGCTTCTAGTCAGACTGAAGCTAAAGACATAAAAACGCTACTCAGGCCCTGCCAAGAAGTAGGAGCCAGGCAGGGCCGGGCAATAACGTAGGAGTGGGAGGACAGAGGTTTATTTGAGCGAGATGTGAGCCCCGGGCGGGGAGGCAGAAGCACGCTCTTGTTCAGTCTTGCCTGAGTCACAGTGGGGCTCCTTGCAAGTTGCCTCTATCCCTATTAATGACTCCTTTGTATTCCCCCAGCAAAGAACCCTGGAATAGAAGATGTCCTCCAGTTCTTTTCATTTCCTCTTATTTTAAAAGTTTGTCATTAAAAAAGCAAGAAAAAGTATATCTTGCCTGTCTTTTCCTCTCACGGTGTCACTGCCGTTTTCTTAGCTCAAGATCTTAATGTCTTTTTCCTGGAACATTGTAATGGCCTTTTGAATGGACTGCCTTCTGGTCACTCCCCATCCTCCTTCAGCTTGATCATATTATTACTCTTCTGCTTTAAAACCTGCAAAAGCACCTTATCACTTGAGTATGAACCCTACATTCCTTAGCCTGACCCCTTATAGTTCTAGCCAGTCTCATTCTCCTCCCAATCTCTTATCCACAGACTAAGACCCATGCAGACTAGGTAGCTTATCTGTCCCTACATACCTCTTGAGTTTGTACATATTATCATATCTCTCTCTTTTGTAATTCTGCTTATTATTTCAGTTCCAACTTAGATAGTACCTTCTTTTCAAAGCCTTTTCCTGTCTCCAACAGGTAGAGCCTTCCTCCTGGACCCTCCAGTTGTCTGTCACAGTAGTACAGGTCACATTGCTTTAGAATTAGCCTTCCTTTTCCACTAGACTCCCTGTAGCACCTGGCACATACACAATTGAACGAAGGTGAAATTAACTCCCTGAAACATCGGCAGGTGTAAGAACTTGTCATTCATAATAATCTCCATAGGATGATAGCAGTTCAGTGTATGCCAATTGGCGTTACCTCCAGCAGCAGTTTTGTGCAGTAGGAATGGATTTCAAGTTATCCAGACTCGACTCCTAATCTTGGCTTCAGTTAAAAGCTGTGTGATTTTTTTTTTTTTTTGGCCACACTGCATGGCTTGTGGGATCTTAGTTCCCCTACCAGGGATTGAACCCGGCAGTGAAAGTGCTCAGTCCTAACCACTGGACCGCCTGGGAATTCCCAAAGCTGTGTGATTTTGAGCAAGTTTCTTGATTTTTGAGCCTCTGTTTTTTTTCCTTTTTTTTTACCATTTGTAAAATGCAGAGGCAAATAATCTAGACATGAAAACTTTAAGCACTAAAACTCAATACAGATCCCAGGAATTATTTTGTGGATGGGAAATAGGGATGAAAATATGGTGCTCAGCTTTGGTTCCAGTCTGCTTGAGCTGGCAAATAGTGAGTTGGCCATGTCACTGCTGATCTGTGCTTCTCTTTTCCCACCGTGTAGATCCTGACTGCTTCTTTCCTGACATACCCCATGCTCAGGACCCTTAGCCAGCAGCTCCTTTCAGTTGTCACTGGCAGCTATGTCTCCGGCACTTACTCCATCGTTTTTGTCAACTGTCCCAACGAGCAGATTGCCAGAGATATTGCCAGGTATGGTGAAGGGGCTTAGGTGCTGCTCCAGGAGGCTTGGGAGCGACCAGGATGCTCCAGAGGGGCCACTTTGGGGTACTTCTCTTGCTTTTGACAACCCCATCTGTCCAGTGATGAACTACACAGCTGTCTGCTTGGGGTGATATGAGAAGCATGGCTGAATGACACTTGGATGGATCCTGCTGCTGGGCCTGAAAATGCTGAGTGGTGCATGGGGGCGTAAAAGTGATATGAGACCCAGAGAGATAGCTGGCTTGCGCAAGGTGTTAAGATAAGAGAACAGTGGAACTCTGCAAGTTGAGAATTTAAGAGTCCTAATTCCTGACCCAGCTGTCTTTTTGGAGATAGTCTTTGCTCAGTCCCAGAGGTGCCCACCATGACAAGAGGAGGAGGAGACCAATTCCAAGTATATGGCAGATTTCTAAAAGCAGCTGTGCTGTGGTGGAAAGAGCACTGGACTTGTAATCAGAACAATTTGAATCTTGGCTCTGCCACTTGCTGTGTGACCTCGGGCAAGTTGCTTCCCTTCTCTAAGCATTAGTTTTCTGAATTATAGAATAGGATAATGCCACCTACCTCACAGGGTTGTTGAGAGGATTATATGATATATGTACAGTCCTTATTCCAGTAACTCAGATGTAGTAGATGCTCAAAAAATGTTTGTTGTATCTGAATTTCCACCCTTCACTTCTCTTCTTTTTAAATTTATTTTTCTTTTTTTGGCCGCGCCTTGAGGCTTGCGGTATCTTAGTTCCCTGAACAGGGATAGAACCCAGGGCCACGGCAGTAAAAGCGCCGAGTCCTAACCACTGGACTGCTAGGGAAGCTCCCCTGCCCTTCACTCCTTTATAGCTGCAGCTTTGAAGCGGGTTAGTGGGGCTGAGGGGTACTGGATTTGGCTCCTGGCTCCCTTTCTTCTTGCTCTACAACTCAGCATTCTTGAGGTTTGATGATAGCTTAAGTTATAGTGTTTTATGTGTTGAATTCGGTCTTTGGGGGCACATAGCCTCCAAACTGATGGTCACAGGTTAACTTTGCATTTGATTCCATCTTTCCTGCCCCTAACCAGAATGTCTATTTTTTCCTTATTTACATTACTTTTGGAGAACAGCTCTTGTCTAAAAGAACATGTGATTACTCCAGAAATATGACCTAGTATTGTATTTAGCAGCTAGGAATTGAAATCCCTCCTGTGCTTCTGGTATACCCAGGATCTGTGCTGAACTCTCTGGACCCCTGGATTAGCCACTCTGGGTCCTGTCAGGGAACAACTTCAGCTGACATCTGTGAGGTGTTGGGTATCAGGAGGAGAAGGATTCTAAGGCCTGGATTCTAAATACAGTAGTTGAGAGGCCAGTTCAGGTAAATGGATCAGTATCAGCTTGGAGAGGGGTCTCTATTGTCTTTGCATCCAAGGTTGCTCATGAGAGGTCAGGAATGGGGTCTCATTGCTTCATAGGTAATGCTTTTTCTCTCTGGTTTTTCTCCTAGTTTTTAGGAATTTCTCTTTGTCTTAATGTTCAAGTATTACTTTGTTAAATATAGCCTCTCTACTCTCTCTATCTGCACCACGCTTTCCTGGAACTCCTTATAGATGTTGAATTTGTTTTCTGTGACTGAACTTTTATAGTTTTCTTTAGACTGAATTTTATAGGTTTCCTTTTCAAGATTTCAGATTGTTTTTAATAACCAACTGCTCTTGTTTTGTAATTGTCTGATCTTGTTTTATAAATGCAATAATCTTGCTTTATCTTTCTGTGGATAGTAATTATACTTACTTTATGCTTAATTTTCTTCCAGCTTTATTGAGATATAATTGACATATAACATTGTGTAAGTTTAAGGTATACAACATGATGATTTTATATGTGTATATATTACAAAATGATTACGACAATAAGGTTAGTTAAACATCCATCATCTCAGTTACTTTTTTGTGTGATAAGAACTCTTTAAGATCTACTCTCTTAGCAATTTTCAAGTGTACATAATTGTACTTATTTTTAAATCTTGGTTTCAATTATCCTTCTCATGTAAATTCTTTTTTGTTGTTGAATTTTAGTCTCTCATGGTGTTGACTTTCCTCAAATACTTTGTAATTCTTAATTGTAGCCTCTCTCATCTTCTTAGCTATGCTTATGGGGAAGTGTAGAAACAAATGGAGGAATTGACCTTAGGTGGTACTCTGCAGTGTGCGTGTGGGGCATGTGGACATTCTACTGGCTGGGGTACCCAAGTAACTGGTCTTCTGGGCATGCACTCTCCCTTTTGTCCTTGGCTGTCGCCGGCCACTAGGACAGTGTTTTGCCTTTTGTCCAAAATTCCCATGCTCACTGCTCTGCCTGTATCAAACATCCCATTACTGTTGCCTGGGCCATGGGAGATTTAGGGGGTCTACCTGCTCCTGCTGTGGCATTCCAACTATTTACCTTGATGGTTGCCTCCAAGTTCTTGCCTGCTCTGGTTCCCATTACATCTAGATTTCAAACTGTTGCTTTCATTTTCTCTCCCCCACCTCCTGCCCCAAGTTCAAAAAGGCACATTTATTTACAAAGGAACAGTATAAATGTAATAAGGAATAAAGGAAATAAAATAATAGGCATACATATTTACATAGCAGATGTAGGCAAAACTTACTAAGAAGGTTCTTGAAATACTTTTACAATCTAGGATTCAACAGTTAAAATCAGTTTCTAAGAATAATTTATCACCTCAAGAAGAATTTTTAGGATGGTCAACTTATATGATTCAAACTATGGCTATGTTAGTGAAAAAATTATAATTTTATATTCTTCAAAATTCTCCAGGTTGCTGGAGGCCAAGAAAACCAGATCACTGCCAATGTTTAAAAGATTCAAAGGCTCTTAAGTTAGGAAGTCCCCCTACATGCTCCCATGCATGTCTCAGGGCTGCCTTTTTTCTTTAGGGCCTCCTCCTAGTTGCTAGTACATAAAGCGTTCTTACTGTGCTCTGGCACGGTGAAGAAATGTTTTGTTGTTTCTGGTGTGGGGTGTAAAAGGGAGGTTGCAGTGTGTGTGCAGCCCACCAGCTGAGCTGGAAGTCTCAGTTGGAGTCCTGAGTGATGTGGCAGTGGATCTCTCCCCTCAGCTGTTCTGTTCAGTATTTTTCGTTAATGATTTGGGTAGAAGAGAGGCAAATAGGTTCGCTTCCAGGATTTGTAGAAGGAGAGTAAGTGGGTACATGGTGGGGAGGGCCCCACAAGTGTTAGCCGGCAGGAACCCCAGCTCTGCCTGCGGAACTAGTGCTGGGACCAGGTCTTTCAGCTCCAGTTTAGTGCTCTTTCTTCTTTAGTGCTCTTTAGCGTTCAGTCTGCTGCCTCTCAGTTCTGGTTCAGTTCCATTCTGGTTCCTGGCCGTGTTCTTAGAGCTCTTCATTGACAGATGCATTCTAAACTGGAAAAATCTCTTATTGGGGCTAGGGTGAAAACCTGAATGTTGAACCAGGAGACCTGGATTCTAGTTTCCTTTTTGCTGCGAACACCACATATGACCTTAGACAAGTCTTCCTTCTCTGGGCTTTGATTTCATACGTAGGGAGAGGGAATTGGATTAGGCCAGGGTCACAGACAAAGATATCACAAGCAGGCAACTTAAATGAGTGAAGTGGGCTGGGGTGTCGCGCTGAAGAATGACTGTAGTTAGCAACCCTTACTCGTCCCAGGTGTTGAGAGGGAAAACAGTGGAAACTGACCCGAGAAGCATATGTCATGCCTAGAGGGAGTAGCCCCTGCTCAGCTCTAGCTAAATCTGACCTTGTAGGACTACAGGTCCAAAATGTTATAAGATTCATTTTTTGGTGAGAAGCTAGGTAATGTGTATTTTTTTTTAATGTGAAATACCCTGATAGTAAATATTGGTAGCAAAATCAAGATTTTTTTAAATGCCGTGAGAGCCAAACCATGTATCTGGTCTGTGAGCCTCTAGTCTGTGAACTTTGCAGTTTCTAGAGACCCCAGAAGCTCTGTCTTCTGCTTTACTCACATGAGCATGAGGGCTTGAGCTTTCCGTCTGTGACTCACTGCTGGGCTTTAGTGTGTGTGTTTGTTTTTTGTTTGTTTGTTTGGCCACAGGAGCTTTTTGAATAACACAGCCCTCCATAACTTTACAGTCTTTTACCCAAGGACAGGTTGCTGTGATTACTCAGGAGTTGACACTACCAAAGAGATTGGAGGCCCGTGAGGCAATGGATTATTTTTTTCTAGAGGTTTAACTCACTCCCTCTGTTTGCGTGCCACCTTCAGAACCAGTGAAGTGTAATTTCTCAGCAGATCATTTGATTGAGTGAGTGAGACTTGCAGACGTTGCTTAAACAAATTTGTGCCGTGTGCCTCTCCTTACAGTCAGATTTATTTAGCACCTGGAACTTTCCAAGGGAATGAGGGTGGTGGTAATACCACCTTAAAGTGGAGCCTTAAATAGAGCACTGTTCAGCCTGGAACTCAGGGGAAGAGAAAGTAGGTCAGTTCTCTTGGCAGCAGTCAAGAGAAGGAGAGATCAGTAAGCAGGGCTCAGATTAGGGTTATCTGGCAGGGGCCACACACCTCAGAGAACTGAGACCAGGCCCCCTTGGCTGACTGAGACCTGAGAGGGGGTTGTCAGGGCCTGCCTGATTCCGAGGGCTTGAGGTTTGATACTTGGGGACACTTCTTTGCATCGATGACTTGGTGGTGCTTTTGTTTCTATGACACTTGTACTAGTTCAGGCACTTTTTATTGTGTTCACCAGGGCTCTGCACAGGAATCAGACTATCAGAGCAGGAATTCCAACCTGTGGTCTGTCAAAGAAAGTTTTTAGAGGTCTGCAAAGGTGATGATAATTGTGCTCTTAGGGTTGTGGTAGGAACCTTCACAAAAATAAAAAGTGAAAAGAGCCTGTATTTGCCAAAGACAGACATAGGATAGGATGCCTTTTTTTGCTTTCCCTTGGAGTTATATCAGTTCCATGTGGTCACATGATATCTACAGACCAGAAACCCTGTCAGCCTAGTACATATCCGAGAGAGAGAAAAGGAGAAGAAGGTGACATAATAAAAGGAGTTTTTGGTGGTGAAAAGAGTTGGAAACCACTGACTGAACCAATCCTCTGATTGTACAGCAGGAGTCAGGTTGAGTGAGGGGGTTGTGCCTGTCTTGGATAGGTGCTCAAATACTTATTTCTGGAATGAAAGAAAGAGCTTGCATAAGGTCACACAGCCATCCTACTGCAGGGCTGGATTGGAATCCAGGTCTTTTTGTTCTCCGTCCATTGCTAATAAATTCCCATTCCCCAAGCAGACTAGGCCTGTCCTTTAAAACTGCCTTCCCATAGCTGCTTCCCTACTTCTCTCCCCACCCAGGGAAGGACTTATAAACAACTCTGTCTTCAGAGGTTCTGTGCACAGTAGTTATGAAACATGTTGGTTTGAGTTGGGAGGGGCACTCTAAATGGTTATCTATTTAGAATTAGGTTTCCTGAGTAGTTCCCAGGAACTGCTGGACACTTGCCCCAGTAACTGTCACTCTCTCTTTGCTTTAGGGCTATACTGGATAAGAAGCTGACTGCCTCTGTGAACATCCTGCCTAAGGCATACTCACTGTGAGTTTTGCTGTGGCCACTGGAAGGGTGTGGGAGTGCTAGGTCAGGTCCTGCCTGGTGGAAAGAGCACTGAACTAATGGGGAATTGTCAAAGAACAACTCAAAGGCATTTAATTAATCAATAGTTCACTGTCAATTTCTATTCAGAGGAAATCAACCAGTGGGTTTATGTCATTCAACAAAAGCAAAAACAGGCTGTGTTTAGAGAAGGGAGAAAAAAATCTACAGTTTAGGAACAGTGAATCTTGTGTGCACATTCTTTGTTTAAATCAATTAGCTTGCTTTTAGCAAAGAAGTCAAACTGGGCATTCCATCCCTGAGTAAGCCAACTAGGGATATCAAAGATTATAATTTCCATTACTTTTGGATTCTCTGGAAAACTTTGAGAGTTTAGCATATGCGACAGGCTGTTTCTGTGTATTGTCTGCCTTTCATTTCATCAGCTCCTTTACTTAAGCCTGGTCTGCACCATTTCCCTCATCAAAATATGTCAGTATCCCAGTACTGGCTGTGCAGGATTTGTCTTGTGCCTTAATCTCTCTGATCAGCCTGTTTCTCATCTCCTTCCTCCCCTGATGAGCAAGAGGGAGGGAGGGAGGGAGAGAAATAACGTCTACTCTAAAGGTCAGCACAGAAAAGTGCTATATAATGAAAGCTTTCCCCTGCCCAGCAGTGCCGTTCCCTCAGTGGCGCACATCACCTGTAGCTATGGTTCCCAAATTAGGCTATGCTTTGGATTCCTGAGCTCCCTCCTGGATCTACTCAATCAGTCTCCCTGAGGATGGGCCTTGAATCTGAATTTTTAAGAGGTTATGTAAGTGATTCACATAAAGCCAGCCTGGGAGCTACTGCTTTGGAGCTAGAACAGAATTTTAGCTACTGTTTCCCCTCATGTGTTCATCCTTCCTTGTAATTCATCCTTTTACCACAGCTCTGTGAGATGAGGCCAGTGGCCTAAGTCATCTTAGATTTGCCCTGGGTTAGCATAGGCATTCGCAGGCCAAATTTCTTTCCCTTCCCATGATGCTGTTCTCGTACTCTTTTCTAAACATTGTCACTGACTTTGTTTTTAACTTTTGGACCTGTTTCCATATTTTATAAGGCTTACTTCTTCCCTGAATCTTCCTGTGCTTTTTCATTTACCCATTGGTGGGCACTCAGCTTTGAGAGTCAGTGATACAGATAGCACCAGTCCAAAGGATGGGGAGGTGCCTGGAAGCCAAGAGTATGGGATGAGCATTGAAAAAGCTGGAGATGGCCAGTTTAGAGGAGAGAACATATAGGAGTTTCTGTAGGGCTGTCCTGAGGTGGTTCTTCATGTGGAAGTTGGGGAAAACTATTGGGTGGCAAATGTTGGCACACCATAAGAAAAACCATCTCATGTGAAAACCTTTCAGGAGATGGTGAGCCCCTCACCTCCAGGAAAGTTAAGGCAGGTGCTAGAAGCGTGCATTAGAATGTTTAGACTAGATGACCTGTAGGGCCTTGGCCAACTCTAGGCTTTTTTATATGGGCTTGGAAAGATTTTAAAGTTTCCCCCTTAGTAAGTCACCTAATTGGGCCAGGCTTATTTCACTGAACTCATCTTGTAAGCATGATAATTTTTTTTGTTGTTATTCTCTTCTCCAGATACTATTGGAATGGAGAAATAGAAGAAGCCACTGAAATCCTGCTGGTGAGTGAGGATAGGGGGATGCGGCCTTGATAGGGAAAGAATGAGAGCACAGTTCCAATTAAAAATTAGCAAAGGTCAATTAACTGAGGTTCTTGCCCCACATAAGATGCCCTAGGTTCATTTGTAAGCCACTAACAGGGCCTGGGGACCCGGAGGAATCTGTCTCCTAAACAGCCAGTTGAATGAGCAGCTGCAGAGCTGGGGCTGATCCCCTGAAGCAGTGATTTTTTTTTTTTTTCTTTTACAGTTAATAAAGACAAAGACTTCCAAGGTCCGTATGCTATCCAGCTACATCAGGTAATAGTGCAATCTCTTCCCATCCGGGACATGCTGGGAACTAAGTGAAATGAGCTTGAGAAGTAGGATACCTAGAGCTTAGTCACCAGCCTCCCACGTGACCCTGGGTATGGCCCTGTCCCTCAGACTCTCCATCTGTAAAGTGAGTGAGTTTTAAACCAGCGGTTCTCAAAATTTTGGTCTCAGGATCCCTTTACACTTTTAAAAATTATTAAGGACCCAAAAGACCTTTGTTTATGTGGGTTATATCAAAGTTTACTGTATTAGAAATTAAAGCTGAGGGGCTTCCCTGGTGGCGCAGTGGTTGAGAGTCCGCCTGCCGATGCAGGGGACACGGGTTCGTGCCCCGGTCCGCGAAGATCCCACATGCCGCAGAGCGGCTGGGCCCGTGAGCCATGGCTGCTGAGCCTGCGCGTCCGGAGCCTGTGAGGCCACAGCAGTGAGAGGCCCGCATACCGAAAAAAAAAAAAAAGTAAAGCTGAGAAATTTTTAAAATATGTATTTTTAGTTCATTTAAATTAACAGTAATAGAACAATTACATATTAACATAAATACAGGCATACCTCAGACAGCTTTGGTTCCAGACCACCGCAATAAAGTGAATCATATGATTTTTTTTTTTTGGTTTCCCAGTGTATATAAAAGTTATGTTTAACCTATACTGCAGCGTATTAAGTGTGTTAATAGCGTTATGTCTAAAAAAAACAATGTACATACCTTAATTTAAAAATACAAAACAAAAGACAATTATAGTAACATCAAAGATCACTGATGACATCACCATAACAAATATAATAATCATGAAAAAGTTTGAAATTTTGCAAGAATTAGCAAAATGTGAGACAGAGACACAAAGTGAGCAAATGTAGCATCAATAGACTTGCTTGATGCAGGGTTGCCACAAACCTTCAATTTCTAAAAACACACAGTATCTGTAATAAAGCGTAGTGCAATAAAACAAGGTATGCTAGTAATGTATTTTTATGGAAAGTAACCATATTTTCCAAAAAACAAAAAAGTGAGAGGAATGGCATCATTTTCCATTTTTTGCAAAATCTGGCTTAATAAGAGAGCTGGATCTTGTCAAAAGCATCTTTAAGTGTTGGGACACTTTTAAGCTCATGATGATAAATTCAGGTTTTCCAAACTTCTGATTTTTGCTTAAAAACATGATTTTTTTTTTAATTTACAATATTGTGTTTAATTTCTGCTGTAGAGCAAAGTGACTCATTTTTATATATATATATATATTCTTTTTCATATTCTTTTCCATTATGGTTTATCAAAGGATAGGGAATATAGTTCCCTGTGCTATTCAGTAGGACCTTGTTTACCCATCCTGTATATAATAGTTTGCATCTGCTAATCCCAGACTCCCAGTCCTTCCCTCCCCAACCCCCAAAACATGAATTTTTAAATTGGCATTAAATGATATAAATTGTCTTCGTTTGAGTGATGGGCCCACTTTGTTCATATTTGATAAAATGTCTACCTAATACTCAAACCTGAGTAACCTTAATTTGTAAAACTGACAAATGATGGTTACTCAGGCTTGAAAGTAAAAATGGTATTCTTTGGGAAAAGTCTAGTTTAGCTTGTGTCTCAGTCAGACAAGTTTAAGACAACATTGAACTTAGGTATATAGCAGAAGTGCTTTATGTATGCTTCCCATTCTGTCACACAGAATATTAAAAAGGCACACTCAAGGGTCAAACTTTAATAAAAATAGTAATTTTTACCACATTATCAAGAATGTTCTTAAGTGAATTTGACTTTTTTAAAATGCAAGTATTGTGGTGGTGAAGAATACAGTGAGAGCTAGTACAGTTTGGTGCTGTTGTCTTGATGCATGCTAAGGTGCCACCAGTTTTACCCATCATTGCTTTTGTACCATCAGTGCAAATGTCAACATAAATGAAAAGATAAATAACAGTATTATTATGAAAATAGTTTTGGCCTCATGGACCTCCTGAAAGAGGCTTGGAGTTCCCCAGGGGTCAGTGGACTCCACTTGAGAACCACTGGTGTAAATCCTTATTTATCATTCAGAGTGTAGTTTTGTAATAATTGGCATCACCTGGAAGCTTGCCATAAATGCAGAATCTCACACTCACCCCAAACCTACTGAATCAAACTACAGTTCAACAAGATCCCCAGGTGATTCCTATGCACAGTAAAAGCTTGAGATTCTCTGGTCTAAACCAGTGATTTTTGATGTTGGCTACATATTATAATCACATGGAGACTTTCTCAAATTACCAATTTGGGCTCCACCTCAGATTCTGACCTAATTCATCTGGAATGGGGATCAAATATGGTGTTCTTCAAAGCACCCAGGTTGACTCTCCTTGCAGCCAGGATGCAAGTCACCTGTCTGGATGATAAAACCCTTTCCTTTCACATCTTAGGGAACCAGGCAGGATTCTATGGTTATATGGCTATACTGGGTCTCAGATCTATTGGTAGAGAAGGCCCTCATGTTACTGCCTTAGCGCAGGTGTGGAAATAGGGTATCTTTGGTAGAACCAGTGCTGTTGAGAAATTACAGCCTGACTGGTGAAAGACAGCTTCAGGGTTAAGACAGTGAACCCCAGAGCTTGACCTCCAGCGTCAAATCCTGCCTCTTCCACTTGCTGGTTGTAGCATAAGTGCATGCAAATTACTTTCTGTGCCTCAGTTGCCCCATCTATAAAATGGGGACTATACTAGTACCTTGGGTTGTTATGCATATTGGAAAGAACTTATGTCAAGTATACGCATGAATTGCTGTATCAGTGACAGCTCTTACTACTAAAGTGTTATTAAAATGCCTTATACTGGGGGCTTCCCTGGTGGCACAGTGGTTGAGAGTCCGCCTGCCGACGCAGGGGATACGGGTTTGTGCCCCGGGAGGATCCCATGTGCCGCGGAGTGGCTGCGCCCGTGAGCCATGGCCGCTGAGCCTGCGCGTCTGGAGCCTGTGCTCCGCAATGGGAGAGGCCACAACAGTGAGAGGCCTGCGTACTGCAAAAAAAAAAAAAAAAAAAAGTCTTATGCTGAATGCTATTCAGACCTACATACACTGAATTCTGTGTGTCTGCTTATAAAAACACATACACTGGTCTAGGTATCCGTGAAATAAGAAAATTCATTTTTCTCAGGCATTAGATAAAATTACCCAGCTTACTGCTAATGTTTAAGCACCTATACGTACACATGTTGTGATTTAGTAAACATTCTATCTCATGAGAACTTTACAGTGCCTAATTCAGCAAAAAAGCAGCAGAGGATCATTACTCCTGTGTGACAGATGGGACCAGGGCCCAAGGCCTCATGTTTTTTCCATTGGGAAAGTGAAGAGAACTGGCATTTTGTGCCAGGACTAGGTGAGGACTAGGTGAAAGAAATGGGGAAAAGGGAGAGATTGCTGTGGGTTTGGATGGTCAAGGAAGATCCCTGGGGAAAGGTCAGTGGTTGAGTTGAGCCTTGAGGAACAGAGAGGCTTTTGATTTATCAGCAGGAACAGGGAGAACTTTCTAGGTGGAGAAGAGAATACAGAGGTACAGGGGAAGGGGGAGTTGTTTGCGGAAGGCCCAGTGATGAGTGAAGGATAGTAATAAAAACAGTAGCTAACATTTACTGAATGCATACAGCGCCAGTGTACCAGGTATGTGCCTTATATACCTTGTCTCATGTAATCCTCAGCAATCCAGTGACATAGGTACTATTTTTATCCCTTCTTTTGCAGGGCCTTTAGGGAAATTAAGTGATTTGTCCGTGCTTACATAGCTAGTAAGTGGCAGGCTTAGAATTTGAACCCATGTCTGTGAGACTCTAAAGCCGTCTGGCCTAACTCATCACTTGGTGACAGATGGGTAACAGGCGTAGGAGTGGTGGGCTGTGGGGCTGGAGCAGTGGGCTGCAGGCATATTGCAGAGGGCCTCAAGTGAGGCTGCCCAGTTGGGTTTTATTGCATAGGCTGACTAATCCTGGTCACTCACAGAGCTCTGCTTTCTTTCCAAAGGTTGGTGCATCCTTTTGAAATCCCAGAGGTCTTCAGTCTTCCCATGGACCAAGGAGATGTGCACTATTTAAAGTGGCTGGAGGAGGGCATGGAGGAGGAATGAGTGGGGGCTTCTTGTGCCTCCTGCTGGCTGACTCTAACCTTCATCAGCTGTTCTCTGGGGGAGGGGAGGCTTCTCTCTGCCCTCTCGCATCTCTGGATTCCACGCTTTTGTCAGCACAGAGGAGTTAAGTAACTTGTGGAGGGTGAAGGCCCAAGGCTTCTGAGGCTGGAAGAGGACGCTGGGCCAGTCAGGCCAAGCAAGAACCCCGTGGATCTTGTCTCTGAGTGCATCATGCGTAAAGGTGGCTGGGGGTGGGAGGGCGAGGGTGACTGTGTATGGGGACCAAGGGGAGGCAGCAGTGAGGGTGAGGTTTGTCATCTACGTTCACTGAGCCTATATTGAGTGCCTAGTATGTTATTACTTTCCTGCCTCTCATGAGGAATGGACCTGTTGACCTGTCACCCAGAAGTGTGTGGGGCGAATGCCACCTTCTAGGGGAACTGGAAGTGCTCTATCCAAAAGCATGAATTGCTAATGGTGGAATTTCAGGGACAAGCAGGATTTTATTTCTTCTAGCTAAAGATGGTGTTTGTTATTCCTGAGTCCTGAGGAAGTGGGACTGGAAGTGGGCTTCCTGAGTGCACGTAGCACTAGGGAGTATTAGGGCTTAGACATAGCCTCACGGATTGGGAGTAGGTCTTGACTCTTTCCTAGCCTGAAGGGGCAGACATCAGAAGGTTCTGGTGCCCTGATCAGTGGAGACATGGGTTCTGAGCCCACCATACTAACCTCTCCACTTGAGCATTGAAACTGAGCATCCTGAAGGAGGAAGAACCCAGGGGGACTGCTAGACAAGTGTTTTTCGGACTTGCTCCACAGAACCCCAGGGGTTCACAGAAGGTATCCTGGGGGCTACTCATACTTCAACCAGTGCAACTGTGCTTTTATTATTTTTATGTATTGAGCTAAGTTTCTGTTGTTAAAAGTTTGTAAACCAGTGGCCTAAGCCAGTCTCCATTTTATAGGAAAGGAAACTGAACTGCAATGAGGTCCAGAAAGTGGGTGGCAATGCTGAGTTACAGACGGGATAGCCAAGGCTGCTCACTCTGTCTGGTGCTCTCCTAAACCTGTTCCACAGGTGTCTTCTCCACGGGGAAGATCCCTGTGGGGTGAGAAGAGAGACCTGATCTAGGCTGCTTCCATGGCTCTGTCACAAGGTGACTCCGCTCTGGGGACACCATGGGCAGTTTGGGTGGGAGTCCACAGACATCTGCGGTATCCTAGGTCTTCCTTCTCAAGAGGGAAGGGTGTGTGGGAAGGGTGTTGCCAGCCTCTGGTTCTGACACCTTCTGTGCTTCTTGGACCTTAGTTCCTCCAGATATAAAATGAGGGAGGATCTGCAAGGACCCTTCCATGAAGACCATGTAGCGACTTCAGGCTGAGCCCCTTCCAAAGGTCCAGAGGATCCTGTTTGTGATAGTGGGGAGTTTGGTGGGCTGCCTCAGGAGAAGAAAGAAAATGTTAATGGTGATGTCCTTTTTTTTTATGACAGATGTTTCTGGTGCATGTGAAAATCTTGTGTAAAGTAAACCCTACCGAAAATGTACTGGGGACCCCAAATGGACTGTCCGTATTGCTTTCACGATAAAGTCAATTTCTTGGTCTGGATTTCAAGGCCCTTCAGAGCCTTGTCTCAACTCAATTTTCCGTCCTCACCTACTCTGGCATGTGGGTGCTCCAGTGTGCTGTGCTGTTACTCCCATGTTCAGGCCATCCCCTCTGCCTGATCACCCTTCTGCATGAGTGCTTAAGAAGCCTTCTTGGCAAGGGCTGGCATCCCTGGTTGGAAGGAATCTCTCCTGCCTTGATGTCCTGTTATCCTTGTGTGTCACAGTCAGTCTCCTGTTTCTAGACTGTGAGCTGCTCGAGGTGAGGGATATGTTTGAATCCATTTGGTCTCTTGCACTGGGTTTGGCAGATAATTTCCTGAATTGATGTTTCAAGGATTTGAATAGCTAAAGCTTTCTCTATGGTCCACAATTACTTCCTAATTTATGGAGTTGGCAAAAATCCAACTTTTTTTCCTTCAACTTTTTTTAGGTGGGACTAATTCCAAAGGAGGTTTTTCTTTCTATCTCTGGCCTTCATTAGTTCATTTTCTGTGCTGACTGTGCATTGAAAACTGTTTCTTGGTGGCCTTCCTTTGTGACAGTGTCACAGCTGACTATAGGCAATAGGAGAAGACAGGGACAAGACACCAGCTGTCTCTGCCAGGTACTGCCCTAGGTTCTTAACATTATTTTATCCTTACAAGTCAGTGTTATCCTCATTTTGCAGTTGAAACCTGAGGTCAGAGAGCAGGAGACACTTAAAAGTAAATGGCAGGGGCTTCCCTGGTGGCGCGGTGGTTGAGAGTCCGCCTGCCGATGCAGGGGACGCGGGTTCGTGCCGCGGTCCGGGAGGATCCCACATGCCGCGGAGCGGCCGGAGCCTGTGCTCCGCAACGGGAGAGGCCACAGCAGTGAGAGGCCCGCGTACCGCAAAAAAAAAAAAAAAAAAAGTAAATGGCAGAACTAGGCTCCTAACCCAAGTCTCTGATTCTAAATCTGATGCTCTTACTGCCTCTTTCAAAGAGGTTGGGTGTATCCCTTTGTAGGCCAAAGATCCAGAGAACCTGCTGTAGCCAACTCTAAAGGAAGAGTTATTTGCTCTGAAAACGTGTGGTAGTTGGTGTTGATATATTGCATTACTTCTCCCCACAGATCTGTATGTTGGTGATATCTTCAATTCTGCAGATGAGGGAACGGATTTAGAGGAGTTTAATGGTTAGGGTCTGTGTGACTCCAGCTTACATGGTTTGGCCACTATACCACATTGTCCTCCCAGATGATGCTGTGGGAGCTGGGGCTAGGACCTTCATCAGGGTTTCCACGCGGGAATTCCTTCCCAGCATTTCTCAGGAAACTTATGTTTTTTGATCCCAGAATCCCTGGGAGAGGAGAGTCAGTTGAGGAAATGTGAAAAAGTATTAAAGTTTTATCCGTGAACACTAAAGCTTAAAAGCATAGAGACGTTGCTGGTTTGAGGGACTCCAGCTTCATCAAATAAAAAACTAGAGCAAGAAATGCTAACATAGAGTTGAAGACTAAGAGAACCAGGACAGGAGCATGTAGAAAGATGGTTTCCACCGAGTCAGTCTTGCCTGTGATTGTTGGCACCTCATAAGAGTGTGTGTCTAGCCCTGTCTGCCGCAAACTGTGAGTTATTCTTGCAAATAAGATAAGTTTATACATGTAGTGTACTTTATACAAATCCTATGAGCAGTGTTCCAAGAAATAAGCTTTGGAAGCAAAATAAATTCTTAATTTGGCAATTTTGACACATGATTCTGTATACTCCTAACCTTGTTAGGATATTTGAATGTTACGTTATTTGAATACTATCCAATAATGTTCCCTGGTGTTTTCCAGTGTTTAAGTATTCCCTAGAGGCTGTAGTTTTCTCTAAATTCTACTAAGCTTACTATTCCTATTTGTTAATTTTTTTTTTTTTTAGATATCTGTAATAACGGGGAAAGTATGAAGAATGTTCACAGTATTTTAAGAATAAGTTATGATTTGGGGAATTTTTGAGAATTCTGATTTCTTGCTCCTAAATTCTAAACGTAGATAGATACGTGTTGTAAATTTGTGAACACTAACGTAGACCACACAGGAACAGCAGGGACTCCCCAGCTCGGGGAGACCACTCACCTCAGGAGGGTGTATAGGGCTCTTCACTGTAGAACTTGGACTAGAGCCCAGATCTCTGGATGCTTGGTGCCGTTCACTTTTTATTCCATTACGCTGATTTCAGCCCAGAGAATAATCCCATCCTCTACCCCGCCCTAGCTCCAACTGTGGTTTTGTTCCAAGGGCAGTTATAAAGTTGCAGCAGAAAGAGTGGTAGGAAAAAGCGGGAGCCGTAGTTAAAGAAGATTTTTAAGGGCAGACATTAACACTTGGGGTTTAACATGCTACACTAACCTCTGAAAACAGAGTTCAGTTGAACTCATAGCCTTCAGTTCCCTGTAGCTTTTTCCTATCCCTTCATGCTGCCTCTTGTTCTCTCTCCAAACTACCCCCGATTTAGAGAAGTTTATTTAAGGTGGTAGTCCATCACATTTGTATGTGAGAGGGCTCCCTCAGTATCTGCGGTGCTGAATACAGCGGGGATTCTCCCAGGCATGTGAAGGGTGAGGAACTGGAGCAAAGGAACCTGACAAAGTGGTGCAGGTTCCAACCAGCAGAGCCAGGCCAGGAATGCACTTCAGATTTCTACAACTGTGTGCTTGCAAACTCTGAACGAAGTTTTACAGTGCCTGTACTTAAGCATCTTCGTAGGGTCGCATTCTAAACTCAGTCCCCAGCTTTCACTTCTCTGTGGCCCTCAGCAAATGTTTTTTGCCCCCATGGGTCAGGTACTCACAGAAAAAAGGTTCCACATCCTTCTGGTGGCAAAGGTGAGAATATTGCTGAGAGAATGTGGTGGTGGTAGGAGTGGCTCAGTGGCCAGAGGATGGGGTCTCACCATTCCTCTTCACCTTCCAGGAAACCAGAGCTAATTCCTCCTGGTACCCAACAGCTGATATTTCACTAGGGGAATGACAGGCAGTTTTTCAAAGTGAGCCTTTAAATTGTAAATCAGACACATTAATTATAATTTTAATATAACAAATGTTATTAAAAGCAGCAATTCAAAACCATAAATCTTTTCGAAGGTGCACAGGGTTATGATAAGGTCAGTTGGCAGTAATGCAGCTATTTTCAGGTATGAATGAAATGCTGGGGTGTGGAGTCAGTGTGACCTTGCCAGGCCTTACACTGACCTCCAGGTGAGGAAGACACTGTCTCCCCCCGTCCTCCTCTTCAAGGCCAGAGCCTCTGGAGCTTGAGTAGAGGAGGTGCAGGTCCACTGACAGGCTGTGTTCATCCTGCACTTTCTCAGGAGCCTGGAAGGCAGGCCTGGGAGGCTGCTGTGTTCTCTGGAGCCAGGCAGGAGGCACCCGGTTAGGTCTGGCCCCGTACTTCAGGCGGTTGGGGGCTGCCTTCTCAGCTCCCCTTCCACCTGGCCCCAGTTGTGGGCTTCAGTGGCAGCAGCTGTGGAGCTGAGAAGGGAGAGAACTGGGCCCAACCAGCTTGTTCCTGCCTGGACCATGCTGGGAAGCAGAAGGAAGTGGGTGGGCTGTGTACAGGAGGTGAGGTCCCAGTTGAAAGGCACTGTTGGGGCTGAGGTTTGAGGCAAGGGGCATCTGAACTCTCTCAGGGACCCCCCTGAATGCCCACAGATGGGGAGGGGTCAGCCTAATGGAAAAACCAGCTCCAGGCCTGCTGCTCTCAGCTCACTGTTCACCCCCCTTCACCTTGCAGCCGGCAGCCTCCAAAACCCAGCCGAGCTGGAGGCCACAGCAGCAGTTGGCAAGGATGGTCCCCATCAGGTAACACCCCTCGCCCCAGTCAAGGCACTTCTTTCCAATCAAGTGAGTCAGTTTCTAATACCTCTGGAAGCAGCAAAAATGAGGGGTCTCCTCCCCCTCCCATTTTTGGTCTCCCTCCAGGTGGGTCTGAGTTTTAATGTTGGTTCTAAGAACTCTGTATATTCCCACTGACAAAGGCTTCCCTTTGAGGGGACTTAATGACTCAGGCCCTTTAAAAAAATCCCAACCTGCCCCAAAAGTGATTGTCAATTTCAGAACGGGGCAGGGGATAAGGAAGAGGGTATGAGTCCCCCGTGCCTCCCTCTAGGGTCGCAGCTGGTTCACGGGCAGGTGCTGGATGTTCACACTGAGTTGCAGCACATGGCCCCCAGAAGAGAGCCAAGGAAAAGCCAAGGGCAGGAGCCACGCTGGCACCCTAAGGAATGTGTGGGTATGTGTATATGTGTGTGTGTGTGTGGGTGGGTGGGTGGGTGGGTGTGGTGTGTGTGGTGTGTGTACACCTGGAGGCCGGGGCCCGTGTGTGTGCCTGGAGGTGAAAGCACACATGCAGATGGAAGCTTCTGCGTGGGGGGGTGAGTCTGCGGGTGGGAGGCAGAGGAGACAGTCTGAGGTGTAGCAGGACACGGCTTCCTTTCCTTCAGCCTCAGGTTTGCGAGGCCAGGCCCAGCTCCATGGTAACAGAGAGGGATGTAGCCAGGGGAGGGAACACGGGTCTCAGAAGCTGACGCCTGCAGCCTGCACTCTGGGCCTTAATAACTGGGCTCTGGTGCTGGTGCCTTCGGAAGCAGAGGCCGAGTCTCCTCACGCCTCAGATCCTGAGGTCCCAGGGCCTCTGCCACACAGGCTTTCCAGAGGCATTCTCTCTCCCACCCTCACCACCTCTTCCCAAGGGCAGAAGGAGAGGCGGGAAAGTGAGAGGGAAAGGCTCCTCAAGGCATCCTCTTACCCACCTTCACCCAGTCTTTCTCAAAGGTTTCTGTTCTCATGATGTGGTCCCTGGGATGGGTCAGGTGTAAGGATGTCCAGTGGAGGGTTGGGTGTGTAAACACACACACCCAAAAGGGGAAGGAAAGGTAAAGGGACGCACTGGGGACAAAGACTCGGGCCTCAGGAACAGCCCACAGAGCCAGCAGGACACTAATTCAGAGGAACAGGTAAACAGTTTGAGAGAGTGTGTGGAGACACTGAGAAGTAGCCAGCGGGACCTCAGAGACACAGGCAAAGAGGTGGTGAGCCTGAGGGGGCCGGAGAGCAGAACGGGCACAGCGGAGGCACAGCCCTGGCAGGCAGGCGGGCAGGCAGGGCTCTGGCCAGGCACTTGCAGCTCCGTCTTGCTTCCCTCCCCCACCCCAGCCTGGAGAGAACAGGGGAGCCTGTGGCTTCCGCTGTCTCTCCTTTGGTTTCCAGGACTGCTGGCATCCTTTAGGGGCTGGTCAGTAAGGGGTAGTCCCTTCCCACTCCACCAGGTACTGAACCTTGCCCTCAGGCGTGACCCTCCGAGCCAGCACCTGGTACTTCTCCCCACAGGCTAACCGCCCGGCTGCGCCAAAATAGTTGGTGATGGATGACTTGAGGTGGGACAAGGACGAGTCATCTTCACTGATGCTCTCGAACGTGTGGCTGTCGATGCCCTCGTCGGGCCGCTCAGGGCCTGAGGCCCCCTCTGCGCTGCTGTCGGAGGGGCAGCGTCCACCCAGCTCGGCCGCCCGCCGCTTTGCCCGCAGTGGCATGTACGCTTTGGCTGCCAGCTTCCTCTTGCGGCTGCCCACTGTCCGTCTGTATCGGAAGGGGAGGAGGACGACGACGGGAATGAAACGGGATTATCCCACCAAGTCCCTGTCCCTGAGCACTCCGGGCACCAGGCCCTGGGCACCGATGATCCCCCTGGATCCCTACAACAGCCCTGAGGAGGCTCCAGAGGAGAAACCACCAGCCGGGGAGTGGCAGAGCCCGGATTCAAACCTAGGCGTGTCCAGCTCTAAAACCGTGTTTCTTACGCTGAGGAGCTCAGTGTGGCCTGAGTCCAGGAGCACCATCCTGGTGCTTCCTGCAGCCGTGCAGTGCAGAGGCCCTGCTTACTCTGCCTAGTCGGTCACCTGGACTCACTGTAGCCGGAGGCGTCATGCAGGGGTAGGGATGGGGAGGCAGACATGTGTCCCCTCTCCTCCCCTCTCCCCTCCACAGGGGCAGAAAGAGGCGGAGCGGGGGAAAGAAACGCACACACAAAAGAAGAGGTACACGGTCACAGATACTTAGGAACAAACCAAGACCCAAAGAGCTAGTGAGACCCGAAGAGAGAAAAGAAAACACAGAGGCAACAGCAGAGAAAGAGATGTTTGGAGACAAGACACGCTTCAATGGGCATTACATCGATACTTTAAATTCTACTTTTTGCAAGGGCCTCAAGTATCCTAAGTACAGTTAAAAGAGCCTCAGTTAAAAAGTTGTCTGTGTGCTTTGCAGCACCACCCTCCTTTTGCTGCTGAGGACCAGCTGTTGCCAAGCAGGCTGTACCCTCAGCTAGGCCTCCAGGGATTTCTGTCCCCTCTCCTAGTCCTTATACTTTGCAGGATGCCATTTCCCCTCTCCCAGGCTCTTTTCCTTAAACACCCACAAGACAGACACCAGGTTCAGACAGCCAAGAACCAGGGTCAGGGGACCCTGCAGTCAGAGGCACAGACATTGCAAAATCATGGCAAGCAGAGGCCAAGAACCCCAGAATGGAAGAACCCTGGATCTGAAACTGCCCAGCAAGAGGTGTCACATAACCTGTAGCAGGCTAAGAGGAGCAGCCCGAATGCCCACAACTCAGAACCGGAGGGTCCCAGACCCTCACGCACTTAAGGGCGGCCAGGTCCTGAGACTCAGATGCACAGAGTGAGCCACACATCCCAAAGGGGGTTGGGGGTTCTGGGGGGAGCGATGGAACTTGAATCCATCGTGCTGGGAAGCTAACCTGGAGTCGTAGGAAAGGCTGGTGGAAGCGGAGCCAGAGGTGCTGGCAGCATCAGTGGAGTCCACGTCGGAGAAGAAGGTCTGGCCTGAGCTGGCGCTAAGAGGGAGGAGAGGGTGAGCCAGCCGCTGATCCTCAGCGCCCCTTGGGACCTCCCCGTCATCTCCTGGTCCCTCTCACATGCATCCTTCGTCCCAGTCGAAGCCACCTTCCCACTGAGCTTCCCGCCACCACAGCTGCAGTGGCACCTCCTCTCTCCTGAACATTTCCTACCCATCCAGCCTTCAGAGTCCAAGGAGTCACAAAAGCCTTCCCTGACCACCCTCCCCTGGCACTGACATAAACACTGTGACAGTCATTAGAGATGATAATCACCATGATCCCAGACACTCGTGCAACACCGTACAGGCCGGGAGTGCTTTCGTGTACAGGATTTTGAGTCTCATAACAACCACGCAGGAACGGGTGAGGAGGTTCAGAGAGGTTAAAGAATTTTGCTAACGTTACACAGATGGCAACTGATAAGTAGGGGCCGGAGCCCAGGCCTGACTGACTGAAGCCCTTGCTCTCTCCTCCATGCCCACAGGAAAGCACGAAACGACCTTTAATAGTTCTGGAAATAAAACGATGGATGCGGCCCCTCCCCTTGTGTGTACCAAGCACGAGGCTCTGTGGGAATACACAAGGAGCATCCGCCACAGCCTGGGGAGGGTTAGGGAAGGCTCCCTGGAGGAACGTGAATGTGGGGTGATCACAGCAATTTTGGTGTCAGGCGTGAGGCAAGGAGAAGTTGGAGAGGTAGGGAGGGCCGGGCTAGGCAGGCCTTGAGCGCTGCCCTGCGGAGCTGTCCCCGGGAACCCTGCAGGCTTACAGCATGGGTGTTAGGCTGCCCTAATGCAGACAGACCTTTCAGGCAGCCTTCTGCAATGCGGACCCTTTAACTCAGTGACCCCAGGGGAGCTTCCCTTCCCTCCAAAGGCTCTCTGCTTCACATCTTCCATAGCTAGAGGAATGGTGGTCTCCCTGCTTGGTTCCATCCCAGTCTCCAGAGCAGACCTCTGTGCCAGGTCCCTCATTGTTACCTTTTTAAACTCTGTATCTCATCCAGCGTGAAGTCAAATATGCTGGCTAGGTGGTGGTTGGTGCTCCAGGCCGAGGTAAAGTCACTCTGTGGACACAGGAAGGAGGGGCGGTCAGCCGGCAAGCATCACTTCCGCCTTTCACAGCACCCTCCTCCCCGCTGAGGGCCGCACAGGCTGCACGGGGCCAGCTGGCCTTCTGAGGGTCAGACTTGTCCCTTCCTCTTTTTTCCAGTCCTGACCAGGGAGCCAGGTCATGTCAGTTCTAGTCCTGGCTCTGTCTCTGGCCGGTTGTCTGACTGTTCGATCTCTGGGCTTGAGTTACCTCAACTGCAAAAGGTGGGTAATAACCCCTTCTGAGCTTCACTCTTAAGAGGTGTCAGGGAGCGTGGCAGAATGGAATGACAGTTGTGAAGGTGCCTTATAAATGGTCCATTGGAGACACGGCTAATGTTACTGCCCACAGTGAGGGCCTCAGTGAGGATGCAGGGCTACTGAAGAAGGCAAGAATGCTCTGGAGCTCTGGTTCTGGGCTGGGCTCTGCCACTGCCTGAGGTGTGACCTCAGGAGGGTCACTGCCCTCCTGGGCCCTCAGTTTCCCCACCTGGACAGTGGAGGCAAGGATATTACCTGCCCTTGCCCAGCCCCGCTCTGGGTTCTTGGGAGAACTTGGGGAGATGAAGGAGGAGTCTCACAGTGCCTGGCCCTTCCTTGTTTAACCAGCTGTAAAAGGATCCTTTCGGGGACGTGGGAGAGTCCCCTGGGCCTGGGGGACTTAGTGTTCTGCACAGGAATCCCTAGTATGTGCTGACCCTGAGTGTGAAAGTGGAGAGTGAGAAAACGAGAAACTAACACTGGGGATAGCATCTTCCAGCAAAAACTTTGATCTTTTTCTTCTATAAACTCGCCTTTTCTGCTGCTGGAAATCATGAGGCAACAAACTGTGGAGACAGAAAAGGGAAAGGGTGGCCCAGTCAGAGCCTGAAGGCCCAGAGGGTGGCCCCGAGGGAGGAGTGGCTGGGCAGGGGTGGGGTCACAGCGTGGGAGTGGGCACAGGCTCTCCTTTACAAGGAGACCTGGGGAGGCGGCGGGGGGGTCCTCTGGGGCAGCAGGTGTGTGAGGGTGGTGGGGTATAGTGGGCAGGCAGGAGAGGAGGTGCCTCTCCTGCCTCGGGCATCCAGGTGCTCTGCCCCTCACCCCCCATGCCAGGAAGAGGGGGCTGGGCTCAGCCGGGAGCGCTAGGGACCCCTTACACACTGACTGCCCCTTGACCTCTGCCTCAGCCCTAAGCCAGCAAGACTGGGTCCCGTGATCTGGCTTTCCCTCCAAGCGAGGCCACAAGGGGCTGTGGCTGAAGGAGCGGGAGCGTGGTATCAGGTCCCGGCTCGGCCACTGACTGGCCGGTTCAGGGCGCCTCCAGCTGGGACTAACTGGCTGCAGGCCTGCCCTGATCACTTGGACGCCACCACACAGCCCATCGGAGGGGGCTGCAGCTGGAGCCGGGAGCAGAGGACCCGAGGTCGGCTGCGGCCCCGGCCCAAGGGCCCCAGGCACTGACCCAGGCTTGCTCTTTCCTCTCTTACGCAGCTCAGAGGCGCCATTCTCAGTGGGCACCAGGCCCTTGTCGGGCAGCAGCTTCCCGGGGGGGTTGGGCGGGACGCGGATGCGCAGGCGGAAGATGCACTTCTTCTTCTTGATCTCCTTGCCACAGAGGAACCTGGGGGTGGGCAGGGAGAGGAGAAAGCTCTGGAGCCTGTCCGTCCATCCTCCTGGGGAGGAGAGTCAAGTGTTAAAACCTCCCTCTCTGCCTCCCCGGACCCAGAGTGGCCCGTGGAGACACTGATTCCTCGAAGCCTGTGGGATCAGGGGCTCCAGGTGGCGGCCGAGAACGCAGCCGGCGGCTCGTCCCCGTGCTTCCTTGTCTTGTGTGTGGCTCTTGCTGCTCCTCCCTTTTCTTCTCTGCCTCAACCAGCCCCAAGGCCTCTGCCTACAGGAAGCCCTCCTCCAGCTCCCCGTGGAACCCTGTGGTCAAAACACTGCATTCCACACCACTCTGTTCTCTGCTCTCCCCAAGGAGACTGAAAGCACCTCCAGGCACTTCCCTCACCCTTTCATCACTGGCTGAGCTGCCATGAGGCTGCAGAGGTGACTTAGCCACAGTCCTACCCTCAGGAGACCGTCCACAGAGAGGTCAGGAGGCCCCACGTACTCAAGTAGAGGGCTGTGTCTGGGCCCCAAACCGTGACAAGATGAAAGAGAGAGTGGATAGTTCTGTCTAGAGATGTCTGGGGAGGTTTCACAGAAGCAGGGACCGTGTCTTATTCACGGTGTCCTCAGTACCTACACAGGGCTGACACAGAGCAGTTCAATAAATAGTCATTGATGGAACAAATGAATGAAAGGCATCAAGGAGCATCCTAGGTGAAGAAAGAGTGTGAGCAAAAGCACTGAGTAGGAAAGCAAAGGGTTCAGAATGGCTGACGCCCAGAATAGATAAAGCAAAGGGTCCGTGGCAGAAGGTATGGGCGGGGTCTGATCATAAGAGGCCTTGAATGCCATGCTAAGGAGCTTGGGCATTCTCCGTGGTGGTAGCGAGGGGCATGCCAGCCGTGTGTTCTGAGAAGAACTCAGCAGTGTGGATGGGCAGACATGGGCTGGGGACAGGTGATGAATCCGTGCTTCAGTGCCTGGCCCAGAACCACAGATGGCTACTGCAAGGGAGACCTCAGACAGCAGCGGGCCCTCAGAGAGCAGGGGTTTCAGCCCCCTATGGAGCTGAGTCCAGTATCAAAATGTGTCTGGCTGCTGGAGTGGTCAGGGGAGGCATCCCAAATGAAGTGGGTGCTCCCTGATCTTGAAGGACGGGTAATATTCATATAGTCAAAGAGAAGTGGAGGGAGACCCAGGTGGGAGCATAGCTTGTGCCAAGGTTATGAGGTAGGAAGACGCTTTAACTGAAATCCAACCTGTCGGGGGGCCCACAGCACTCCCTCCCTTCCCTGCACGCACCGGCTTTTATAACTGTTCAGAGCGTTGAGGAGATGCGGTCCTCGGTCCGTCACGGGGGTGCTGGTGAGCTACGGGGGAGCAGGGCAGAGGACAGTCAGACCTGGCGCATGGCATCTGAGAAGACCTCAGCCCCTGCCCCCACTCTCCCCTCAATCTCCTGATGCCCCGAGTCCTCCAGGCGAGGACCACTGACTTGTTCCATGATCTCAGACAAGTCTTTTCACCTCTGAGCTCACGTCCCCATCTGTAAATGAGGAGCGTAACTCCTGTCCTAAATGTATCAAGAGCTTTAAAAATGTCCATGCCCTTGACCCAGTAATGCTGCTCCGTGGAACCTGTCATACAGACATGACACACAAATAAAGCTTTATGTACAAAAAAGTTCACCGCATCATTTTCCTAGTGATGGGAAAGAAACTACATGCCCAACAGGAAAGAAACAAGCAAGTAAACTATGGTGGAAACCATGCAGCCATGAAAAATGCTGATTAAAAACTCTTTCATAACATGGAAAAGTATTTATGATATAATGTAAACTGAAAAAAAATGACTTAAAATTGTATATACTGTCTGTTTTGTATACAGATTCATTTGTATTATTTTTTAGATTCTACATACAAGTGACATAATATTTGTCTGACCTATTTCACTTAGTATAATATTCTCTAGGTCCATTCATGTTGCTGCAAATGGTAATATTTCATTCTTTTTATGGCTGAGTAATACTCCATTGTATATATACACCACATCTTCTTAAACCAATCATCTATTGATGGGAAATTGGGTTGTTTCCATGTCTTGGCTATTGTAAATAGTGCTATGACCATTGGGGTGCAGGTGTCTTTTCGAATTAGAGTTTTCATCTTTTCTGAATATATGCCCAGGGGTGGGGTTACTGGATCATATGGTAGCTCTATTTTTAGTTTTCTAAGGAACTTACATTCTGTTTTCTATAGTGGCTGCACCAATTTACATTCCCACAAACTTATGGTTACCAAAGAGGAAAAGGAGGGGGAAGGGATAAATTAGAGGAGTATGGGATTAAGAGATACACACTACTATACGTAAAATAGATAAACAACAAGGATTTACTGTATAGCACAGGGCACTATATTCAATACCTTGTAATAACCTATAATGGAAAATAATCTGGATAAAATATGTGTGTGTGTGTATGTCTACACACACACACACACACACACACATATATATATATGACTGAATCACTGCTGTATGCCTCAAACTAACATAATATTGTAAATCAACTATACTTCAATAAAAAATTGTAAATACTGTATAATCTAAGCCCTATAAAAAGAAAAACAGACGTAAATGAGAGGCTTGAACTCTGTGCACCTGTGTGTGTTAGCAGTGGATGTTTCTGAGTGGTGAGATGCAGGAGTATGGATGGTTTTCTTTGAAGTGTACTTTCTTATACTTTTTGGTACTTTGAAAATTTTCTACCAGGAACATGTATGATTTTTTTTTTAATAAATCAGGAAAAAATTATTTAAAAATCCCAGCTCTACCTATCTTTAAGGGCTTTATAATATGTATGCCTTTTGTAAATTATCAAACACTGTAAACGAAGATGTTACTATATGAAGAACTTCTGCCAAGCATAAAGTTACTTTAAAAAAAAAAAAGCCCTATTTCACTAAAGGATTTGGGGCAGTCAGCAGAGATGACTCACTCTGGATGTGGTGGAGAGGATTCAGAGGCTGTCATTAAAGGGTGCATGGCCCTGCCGTGGAAGTGGTTGGGGAAGCCCTGGCTCAGCTCTCTACCTCTGACATCCTGAAAGTCTCTGGTTTGTGACTTCACTCCGTGAATCCCAGTTCCCAGACCCCTGGTGATCTCTTCTGCTATTCAGAGTACGACCGGCAGAGGGCAGGCCCACTTCACTTTCCATCCTAGCCAGGTAATCTGGAGTGGGTCACACAGCTCTGTAGGGAGATCTCCTCCAGCCAGACTCGACCCCCAGCTCCCTACAGCTGAGCTGGTGAGGCCCTAACCCACCCACTACCAAAGCCTGGGTTAGGAAGCTCCTTGCAGGGAACAGGCTCAGACGCCTGGACTCAGAGGTGCAACGGCTCAAAAGCTCTGGGTCTTTGTCCCCACTCAGCAGCCCTCACGGACAGCCAGCGTTCCTGAAGAACTGTGCTCAGAGACCCAGATCCTAGTGCGGCGCCGTGTGGCCCTGGGCAAACCTCTCACCTCTCTGGACTTAGGGAACCCCACTGTGGAACGGCTTGTCGCCATTCTGACGTCCCACGGTCTCGCATACCTTGCCAAGCTGCAGGAGCTCCCAGTGGTGGTTGACAAAGGCCAGAATCTCCTCAAAGTCAAAGTACTTCTTCTTGCTCTGCACCCCCAGGTTGTAGAGGGCCAGGTGAACCACATCGACCCTGGGCAAGGGTGCAAGGAGGCAGGCCCACAGTGAGCTGGCAGCCTGTACAGCCAGGGCTGGAGCATCCTGGGTCCAGGCTGAAGGGCAGGGGCAAGGCTGGGACCTGGTGGCTGGAAATGGAATTGTTCCCGGAGGGAGGAGGGAAGGGAGAAACTGGGAAGGGACAGGAGTGGGCCTGGGCCAAGCCCCACCCTCTCACCATCGCAGGGGCAACCTCTCGATGTACTCTGGGCCCTGGTTGCACACGGAGCAGAAAAACAGGTAGAACCTGTGGGTGGGTGAAAAGGGGGCCTGTGGTAGGAGGGGCTCTGACACCCGACCCTGGTCCAGTGCCCTCACCCCCACCTCCCGCCTGCTTTCCCAGAGTCAGCATTGTCCTCATTCCCTCTGGGGAGGGGATAAAGATGGGGCAGAACAGGGACCAAGAACTACTCCCCTACCCCTTCTAACCAGTACCTCAAACCCTTTCCCAAATATCACTGCCCTGGAGGGTGGCTGAGTTCTGAGTGAGCTGAACTAGGCTGGGCTGCAGGGACCACCCTCTTCCCCTCTGCCTGACACACACACACACACAAACACACACACACACACACACACACGCACTCAATCACAAACCACGTGAGACACCAACCAAGACACACACAGTATCCTGTTTAACACACATAAGCCTTCCACTAGCTTAGCCCCCTTGGTTAGAGGCCAGATCAAGTCATCCATTTCCCCCACTGCTTCCTCCAACAACCCCGGTCAGGGCTGGGGCAGGGCCTGTGTCTCTCCCCCTTCCCCAGACACTTGAAGCGTCTGGGGCTTAGGGAAGGTGGGGCTGCGACTGGGGATGTGGCCCAGAGTGTCCCTCTACTGGGAAGGCCTCCTTACCCTGAGCTGCCTCTGTAGACAGGGACACGCTGTCCCAGCCCCCCACTGGGGGTCTGGGGCTTGGCAGGCAACCTGAAGGAGTTGCTGCAGCTGCTGCCCCCATCCCCCCACCTCGCCCCCAAGGCTGAGCCAGACCAGATTAGCACCTACCGGTCTCCGAACATCATGGGCTCATTGAGACACTGGGTGCAGGCCTCGTGGAACCACTGCCTGCACCGGTAACACTGCAGCATCCGCAGGTACCATCTGGAGAGCCAGAGGAGCCAGGGTCAGCCAGGCCCACACTCCCAGCCAGGGATCAGCCTCAGCAACCTTTCCCAACACAAACTCGCCCTCCAGCGGGGGGAAGGGAAGAGAACTCACAGTTACTGAGCACTGGGCTGTGCCAGGGGAAGCCCTGGCAGCAGGGCTTAGGCTATATCATTTGATCTCACCGTCTGGTCAAACACGGGCCGCTGACCACTTTACAGGTGAGTCAGAGGTTAAACAGATTGTTCAAGGTCACTCAGGAGGCAAGTGGTGGATGGTGCCTCAAATCCTGGCCTCCCTGACTTCAAAGCCCACGCTCTTTGTGCCACACTGGAGCCCCCATCTCTGGTCTGTGCCTCACACACTGCTTCCCAAACACTACTGTTGGGGAAAGGTTTGCCCTGGAGACTTCATGGGAGAATAAAGGCTCCTATAAGCCCCTCACCTGGTAATGTATTTACCCTATGACAACCATTCAACAACTACTCACTGAATAAGAATGAAAACCAAAAAGGTGCTTTCTTAATTAACAGTCAATGCTTTGTTCACACCTTGTCAGGTGTGGTCCTTGGACCACCAGCATCAAAATCACCTGGGGTCCAGGTTAAAATGCAGAAGATTCCTTGACCCGTTCCAGGCCTACTCAATCTTTGGGATAGCCCCTGGGAAACACACTTCTGACAATCACCCGAGCAACTCTGCCCAGTAAGCATTGAGAACCACCACCTCAATGCTGCAAAGGTCTCTATAAGCATTTCTCCATCTGTTATCCCAAAGGCCTCAACACCCACGGAAGGATGATGGGGCCGAGGTTATTAATCCCACTTGAGAGATGAAGTACTTCAAGTGATTTGCCCAAATCACCCGGCTACGTCGTAAGCACAGCCTCCAGACCCCTAGTGCTTGTCAGCAGAACTTGGGGATGAGACTCAGGACTTCAGGGTGAACTGGAGGCTGTTTCCTGAGGGCAGAGGTTCCATCTCTCACTTCCGTGGTTCCTCCCACAGTGTTGGTGCAGTCAGCCCAAGGGAACAGGCTCAATCGGCCATGGCTGCATGGAGGCCCAGGCCACAAGGAAGAATCAAAGACTCCCATCTTACATATAGTCAGGGTGAGAACCCCCTCCACAGCGTCCCCAAGGTATTCCCCCCAACCCCTGCTTGCACACCTCCAGGGAAAAGGACCTTCATAGCTCATCAGCAGCCTGTCTCATTGACTCTGGCAACGGAAAGGTTTATCTCCACGTCCATGCACCAACAGTAACAGCTCACAATTGTTAAAGTGCTTACCAAGAGCCAGGAACTGTGTGGGCCTTTACGTGAATGACCTAATTCACACACCGCTCACAACCACCACGTCACGGGAAAACTATGATGAGAACTGAGGCTCAGGGGTAGCACAGCTCTAAGGGGCTGGTTGGACACTGGGGGCCAGTCTGGTAACCACTCTTCAATACTGCCTTCTTTTCCACGGTGCCCCAAGAGAACAACCGCCACTCCCCTGCACCTCGCTGCGGAGAGCGTTAGCCCTGTGCTCTCGAGCCCCGCGCGCGCTCAGGTGTCATCCCCGAGGCCTGAAGGAGGATACGGGCTCTTCCATGGGGGTCTGGCTGCCCCAGCCAGCCGCGCCTACCCCGCTTCCCTGGGGCCCCGCCCCGCGCCCCGCCCCGCCCCGCCCCGCCCCCGCGGCCTTACTCTCCCGGCCCGCCGCAGTAGCAGTAGCATTGCTGCTGGTTGGTGCGGTGGGGCGAGTCCCACTCCAGCTCCTCAGGCTGGTAGGACAGCACCATCTTCACAGCCTGCAGGGTCCTGGCGATGGCGCCCTTCTTCAGCGCGCCGCCTTTCTGCGGGAAGATGAGGGCCCGGGTTACCCGCGGGGGTCCCGGTTGGGCCACACATGGCTCCCTATCAAGGCTAATGCCGACCAGGTGGAACAGGATATTGCAATGTAGTCAGAAACGCACAAAGCCTCTTCTCATCAACCCCAGATCCATCCTCTCTCTATCCCCAAGGAGCTGCATTTTCAATAATATTAATAGTAATAAGCACAACAATAAAAGTAACAATAATAACCAACACATATTGCGAGTGGGCGCTTATATGGATTTTCTCTCTTAATAGTGATTTCTCACTATTTGTTGGGGGCCTCCTACTCCTGACACCAAACCTGTATCCATTTAAAGAGTACTTGTTTTCTTTTTTTTGGCCGCACAGCATGTGGCATCTTAATTCCCCCACCAGGGATCGAACCCGCACCCCCTGCATTGGAAGCGCGGAGTCTTAACCACTGGACCACCAGGGAAGTCCCCAAACCTGTATGCATTTAACAACCAAGGAAACAGGCTCAGGGAGGCTAAGGAACTGCACAAGGACATACAGCTGATTAAGCGGCAGTCTCTGTCTGCCTCCAAAGCCAGGCTCTGTGACCAGGAGTGAGGCCCGAGCCCAGGGGGCCTCTGGGCTTCCAGACTGGAGGATGGGGAGAAGCAGGGTGGGAAGGATGGAGGGCTCACCCGCACAGCCAGCGCAAAGATGCAGCGTCGGCAGAACCAAGGTGTGAGCAGGGGCCGGTCGGCACTGCCCGCTATGGGGATGTGGCACTGCTGGTGGTAACCTATGGCAAAGGAGAGGGGGTGAGTGCCCACGAGGAAGCAGTGGCCCAAGGCCAGTCAGCCCAGAGGCGGCAGGCTGGGGAGGGCTGCGGCAAGTCCTAGGAGCTGTGTGCCTGCCAGCTGCCAGGGGACTGGCTGGTCATGCTCACCAGGCAGCCAGGCTGGTGTCCAAGCAGGCCACTAAGAGCCAGCATTGGCCCACGGCGGGAAGCACCAAAGGTCTGGCTTCAGCCTCTGTGCCCCATCTCTCCTACCCATCCTCTCCACCCACGGGGGCTCCAAAGTGCATAACTTCTCTCACTTTCCAGAAGCCCCAGCTTTCCCCAGGGATCACCTCCCTGGGCCCTCTTTCCCAGAGACTGGCCCCTTGTCACTCTGGAGCTCCAAAAGAAACAGGAAGCCAGCTAAGGCCCCAATGGTCTGAGGCGACGCAGGTCCCGAGCCAGCGGGGAATGGGGACCCACAGGTCTGGGCCTTCTCCATGCCCTGCTCATCACACTCACCCAGGCCACACTTCCCACAGATGAGGATCTCATTCAGTGGTCCTGATGTCTTCCCCAGGCAGATGTTGCACTTGGGTTCCTCTCCTGGAACACCAGCTGAAAGAACGAGGCCCTCTAGGGTCAGGTCGGGCTCACAGGAAACAGCAGTTTTAAAATTACATTCCAGGTGCTGAGCCTCTACTGAGTGCTGGGCCCCATAGGCCAACTCACTGAATCTCCCCAACCAGTCTGAGCTGCCTATTCCCATTAGCCCATTCTAAAGATGGGGAAATTGAGGCTCGGAGAGGTTAAGTCCCACGCTCAGCTGGTAAGTAGGAGGGGGGGATTCAAACCCGCAGCTAACTGACATCACATTATTTGTCCTTTTCACCGTGTCATGCTGCCTCCCCTGCTTAATTTAACTTGATTTGTTAAAGTATTTTATGTTAAATAATTTTAAAAAAAATTTTATTATGGAATAATAACAGAATGTTATAATGAAACTCCACGTTCTTATCAACAATCATGAACTCACGGCCAATCTTGTTTTGACTATATTCCCACTCACTTCCCCCCCTCCTGTATTAAATATTTCAGTACGTATCGCTGAAAGTTCAGGACTCCAAAAAAAAAATAACTACAGCACCTTTATTGCACCTAAAAATTAAAAATAAATTCTTAATATCAACAAATTCAGTTAGTGTTCACATATTCAATTGTCTCAAAAAAGTCATAACAATTTTAAGTTTGATCAATTGCTTTTAATCTACAGTTTCCCTCTCCATCTCTCTTTTTTTCCTTTGCAATTTGGCGTTGCTGAAGAAGAAATATGTATTTATGACTGAAGGGTTTGAGTGAATAAAGTAAGATACATTTTGATGTGTGTTTCTGTCTCATTTCCCCTAGCAGACGGAAAGTTCTGTAAGGGCAGAAAAGGTATCTGTTCATCTCTGTGTCCCCAGGACCTCTTATGGGGTGTGGCACATAACACGTGTTCAAGACATGTTTGTTGAATAAATGATGTCTTGCCTCTTATCCCTGAATATGCTCCCAGGAAGGCGGGACCCACTGTGGGTCGCAGTAAGTCTTCACTGGCTTAATGAAGTGATGGATCAGTAACTATAGCGTGCTCAGCCTTATGCTCTAATCTTGGGTGACCCCGGAGGGCTGCTGTCCTACCTGTGAGGAGCAGTGATCTGGCTGGGGAGCCACACGGTGAGCACTGCAGCACCTCCTTGGTGCCTGGCACACAGTGGGCCTTCTATTCACGGTGTGCTACTTCGATCTATGGTTTGGACTGTCTTTCCTCACCAGCTGGCTCCTTCTGCTTTGAAAAAGAAGGTAGCCCAGGAGAGGAGACCCTCGTTGCTTTGGATTTTTAAATAATACCTTTAGGGTGAGAGGGGCTTGGAGAAGCATCAGCCTGTATTAGCCACAACGTCTTGGAGAAAAAGGCAATTTGGAAGCTCGACTAACTGGCTGGGTTCTGTGGCCTCTGCTTGGCAGGCTCTTGAAATCATCTCTTACGGTAACAAATTCTTCAGAAACAGCCTCCCTGTAACTCAGCAGCACTGGGCTAAGCATTTAACCACACTGTGAGGCCAGTACGTTCAGTCTCCTTTTTCTCAGATGAAGAAACAGGCTCACAGAGGTTATGTCACTCACCCAAAGATATGCAGCAGTAAGTGGCAGAGCTAGAATATCTTGGTCCGAGGAATACTGGACCCTAAAACCTGCCTCTTCCCCACATACCGCCATGTCGGTTCTCCTGTTAGAGCATAAATGGCAAAAAAAAAAGTCTCTTCTCTCACGGTAACTCTGACTGGTAGTGGCTGCTTGGAGCTCCATGTTGAAAATATGCAAGTGTTGTGATTGATTAGTGATGTCTGTCATGTACATGGCAAGGAAGAAAGGTGGCAAGAATGCCCCCAATCTGTCATCTCTGTAAGACAGTAACAGCTCTCTGAGGGCAGGAATGGTACCCAACCCAGCTCCCTTTCAACTCTGAAAACTGGCCTAGCTCCATCCTGGTAAGTCCATCATCACCTTGCCTGGTTCATATCTGCTTGTTTGGTCTTTCCCCCATGAATAAAGCTGCCTCCCTCGTTTTCTTACCATGCTGACAGGGGACACTGTGCTTATATCGAAAGGTGACAATTCTGATTGCCTGGGCCCTTCCCTGTTCCCTAGCCCCAGAGTGACCCAGAGCTTTGGGCAGCAAGGAAGCAAACACAGGCCTGGGACCCAACCCTGCTCTCCCAGCACCTCCCTGGGCCACTTTCTCCATCTGCCTGCCTCCCTCATGAGTAGGAGTACTCAAGGGGATGACAGATGTTACAAGTGTGTTTCCACATAAATGTACAGCTGGTAATCCGATCAGCGTCTCAGGTGCACCTGGGGCTCCAAGGACAAGGCCAGTTGCCAGAAGTTAGAGACAGAAGGCGAGAAGGAAAAAATGGAGGGAGAGGCGGAGAGAGGATCGGGGATTGGGCTGCGGGGCGGGGGGGTGCCTGAAATCACAGGAATACTCACCATGCTGTATGTCCTTCCACAAGACCCAGTATTTGGAGTTATCTTCAAAAGTTACAAGGCAGCTCTGCTTAGAACTGCTGACCTGGGGCAGAGAGAGGGAGGGGCAGTGTGAGACAGTAGCCGGGGAAAAGCCACTTGAACACAGTCTTCCTCTCCCATTTCTGTCCCCACAGGTCAGAGGCTTTAGACCTCTCCTTGTGCTGCAAAAAGGAAAGCCAGGCTAGAAGGGGAAGGAGGATGGCAGTTCCGGAGGTAGTGCACACCCACTCACTGGAGTTGTGCAGTCAGGGACTGGGGGACGGCAACTTGGCGGGAACGCCAAGGACAGAACAGGCCAGGTGATCGTCTGTGGTCCTCTCCAACCTGACTTTATTTTGTTTTGTAGGCTCACAGAGCACTTTTCTAAAGATGTTGGCCCTAAGGATGGCACCTGCCTTTGCAGGCTCCGCCTCCTTCCACTTTCAGTTTGGAGCATAAGAACAAGGCGGGAATTTCCCAGCAGTCTCCCAGCCTCCATCACTGGTCTGAGGCCAAGACCAGAGGATGAGCAGAGAGATGCTGAGCCTGGGAACTGGGGCCAGGAAGGAAAGGTTTACCCTCTTGATCTTCCCGAGATAATACAGTCCATCTGTCCACCGGCACAGCACATACTGGCCCTCTGTCAGCTTGGACATCAGGTCTTTGAAGTTGTTCTTGGCTTTTGCCAGGGCCCCCTTGTTGGGGAGGTGGCTGGTGGCACCATAGGAGTCCCGAGTCCCTGGGTCCAGACCTCGATTCTCCATCAGCTTCCACTGACACTGGAAGAGAAAGAGAAAGGGGTTTTTACTCCTTACTTCAGGAGAAGGGGAAGGAAGGAAAGAAACAACCATTTATGTAACCTGTGCTATGTGCCAGACGCGTTTATCATCTCACTGGATCCTGCTGACAACGCTGTGAGCGAGGCATTATTATTCCCATTTTACCAGTCAGGAAACTGAGGTTTGGCAAGGAGAAGTGGCTATGGGGTCAGAGGCAGAGTCATGGTCCATAATCAGGCGAGCTGATTCTAAGTCCTGCTCTCTCCCCACCCATACCATGCAGCCTTCTAAGTAGAAAGGCTCTCTCAACCAACCACGGAGCAAAATCTCCCTGCCCAGTGGGGCCTGAACCTCACTCCCTGGCTTCACAGCCAGAGGTTTTATCCCTAAAGCAAACACACTCTGTGTTCTCTGAGTGGAGGACCTTCTCCAGGGGGCAGCGGGAAGTTCTCAGACCCCTGACCCCTACCCTGAGAGCTGGCCAGAGAAAACTCACCTGGAGAGGGAAACTCCTGGGTGGCTTGTGAACTGGTATAGACTTGGCCATCTGTGTCTTCTGCAATCTCCTTTTCTGTTCTCAATTATGGGATGATTTAATGGACACCAATTCTGGGACATTTAAACTCACTTATGCTTTTACTCAGATGCAAACCGGCTCCAAGCAGTGAAGTCACTGCCATGCCAACCTCTCCACATCTGTCTTTCACCATCCTACAAATGTGCTGCTCCCATTGCTTTCGCTGCTTCCTGCTAATGGTACTACTATGGTCCCCAGACCCCCAAGCATCTTAGACTTCTCCAACCGATCAGCTGCCACAGCAGCCAAGCACAGTGGCCTCTGGCAACCCACTCCTCTCTTCCATCCCCCTGTCCTGGTCTGAGTTCAGGCCTCACCTTGCCTGGGCCATTCATTCATTCAAGAACTGTTTACTGAGCCTTGTGCTCACTCACCTGGGATTCGGAATGGAACCACCAGCGCCCAGTGCTAAACAGGCCACTCCCTGTTTCCTGCCTCCCCACCAGACTCTTCCACAGAGCCCTCAATTTCCATCTTCTTATTCTCCCAGAAACCTTCTGTGGCTCCCCAGTACCTTCAATGGCATTCAAAGCACCCCCCACGGCCCCCTCCTCCTCAATCTGGGCTCACCCGGCTCCAGGCCCCTCCACACACTCTCCACTAAGCCAAAAGCACAGCATCCCTCTGTTCCCTGCACCCGCTACTCTGGTGCCCTCCTTCTCTGCCAAGGCGCTGGGCACCTGGTGTTATGATTACCTGTAGACAGGGAGAGAGTCCTGTGTTTTTCCCTGTAAGTGTGTGTGTACTCCTGTGAGACTGTGTTTGATGTCTACAGCCTTATGTCAGTGAGCATATGAAATGGAATACATGTGTGTGCATGTCAAGGGCCCTAGGGCAGGCAGGGCCTTGCTGGGGTCTTCACTCTCCAGATGGTGGCGCGGCCACGTCCCCTCTTGCCTCCCCCCCCACCCCCGCCCCCGCCCCTCCCCCCCCATTCCTCTCTTTTCTCCAGGGCAGAGCGCGCAGGCACTGGGCAGGGTGTGCAGTCCAAATCTCTGCCTTCTCCCTGCCACCTGGCTCCCGGGCGCTGCAAGGTCCCTGCCCGCCGGGCCTGGGGCCCGGGCCCGCGGCAGGTTCACAAACTGACACTTCCTCCCCCGCCGCGCCGTTGGGAGCAGGCCCGGTCGCCGCACCCCCCCTGGCGGGGCGGGGGCCCTCGGGTGGCGGCCCCCCCAACCGCGCTTCCATCCTCCCGGAGCGGGCCCCCGCGGGCTGTGATTGGCTGATTCAAACCCATCTGCAAAGAAATGCCTGTTTGCGGGTTCCCGTCGGCGTCCAGTTCAAATCCGCGGCACCCGGATCGCGGGGCCGGGCGGGGGCAGGAAGCGAGGATGATTCATGCGCAGGGGCCTCTCCCAGGGCGGCCGTTGGCTTTTTAAAAAGGGTGTTTGGGAGGGGAAAAAGCTTGCAGAAGTACCCCCTTCGGGTTCAAGCGCTCCTCTCTTTAGTCGCTCCGACGCCAAGCCTCCCCCATCCCAATCCTGCCGCAGCCTGACTTCGGACGTGAGCAAAATCCCAAACGCCCCCGTCGGTCTCCAAGCCACCCACCCCCCGACACACACAACAGGAAAAATAAAGATTTTAGGCACAGGACTAGCGACCTGTCACACACGCCCCCCAAAGGCTCGGGGACCCGGGCGGGGCTCCCGCCACCCCGCGGACACCGTTCACCCCTCTCCACCCCCAAGGCGTGCGGCTTCCCAGGACTCCAACGCCCCCGGAGGCGTCTGACCCGCCAAAGTTGGGGAAATTTCCAAAAGAGGGATGATTGCAGGGAAAGGCGAGTGTGGCGGGGAGTCCCCCGGCCCGGGCCGTCAGCCCGCAGCGCTGAACTTACCGCGAGGCTGCGTGTCCGCCGGTCCCACTTGGAGTCTGGCCACCAGGCGCATCGGCGGCGGAGGTGGCTGCGCTCGGCCCGCGGCTGCCCGGCCGAGTGTCCGCCCGTGGGGCCGGGGTCGGGGTCTCGGCGGGGGCGGGGCGGGGCGGGGGCGCCGCGGGGAGGAGGGGGGGCGGAGGAGGAGGGAGGGGCCGGGGCGCTCAGGAAGGGGCCCCCCGGGCGCGGGGCGCCATCTTTTTCGCGTTTTCCCGCGAATTATTGACGTCTCGCTTATGTAATTAGCGGGGGCCGCGCCGGCCTCGCCATTGGAGCCCGCGGCCGCGGGGCCCCGCAGCACCGCCCGCCCGCCGGCTCGCCCACTCCCGCCCCCGGGCCGCCCCCGCGCCGCGCCCCGGCCTCCGCCCCCGCCCCCGCGGGCGCGCATCCTCCGCCGCCACCGCGCGCCGGACGCAGACAAGCGGCGCGAGCGCACACGGACGCGGAGCCTGCACCCCGGCACGACCGCCCGGCGGAGGCGCAGGCACAACGCGGGCACACGAGGAGGCGCGCGCGGCACTCCGAGCCGGCACACACTTGTTGAGGAAACACAACTCTGCGCGCAGGGCACAGACGTCAGCTGGCACAGACACACATTGGGGAGGTGCAGATACACACGGACTCCCTGCGTAGACACAGACCTAGAACAACCCAAACGGGATTCGCACAACAGAACACACAAACATCCTGCACTTGCGGTGTAGAGAGCACACACAGAAACAGATCCACAATGCGCACGGCACAAACACAAATTCACAACACATGATACACACGACACAACACACAATAAAGAGGCAATTACAGAGTATGGACATAGATACATAGGAGAGACACACCGTGTACACAGCACGGACACACAACAAAACGTACACATAGAGTAGACAAACAGGCATAGAGCCGTAACACAGGCGCACAAGAGAAACAGAGTACACCAACAGCAAATTGCACACAGACGTAATGCACCGAAACACAACACAAAGATACAGTTGCAAATACATACCACACACACAAACACAACATTTAAATAAGTGGCACACAGTGAAAGACAGCATACAGAGTCATAGGAATAGCAGATTGAGGAAAGGGGCGTGGCTCCCGTCATATCCAGTCCTTGCCCTGGGGAGAATGGGCAGCAATGTCCCCATCCAGACTTACTCTTTGGGGGTTGGGGGCTGGAGAATACTTGCCAACCCCTCTCCTTATCCCTCAGCCCTCTTCTTACCTGCTACCATCACACTGCACAGACACCCGTGAGGCTGTGGAGTGTGGACATCATGGGTGTAGCGGGTGGACCATACTCCCCCAGCCCCCAGTCCCTCCTGTTGACTGTCAAGTTGCCCACCCTTGGCCCCCTGCCTCTGGGCCTTGGGGTGCGATCTCTCTGGCTGGCTGGGTCTACCTTTAGGATGCACAGGGCAGAGATTACAGTTGGAAGCACTTACCTCTGGGTCTCATAGGCCAACTGCACTGATTACCGGCCGTGGGACCCTGAGCATAGCACTTCAACTCTTAAACCCCAGTCTCCTCATAGAGTTGTTGGGAAGGTTAGGGTGAATGTATGCAAAGCCCCCGGCAGCCAGTGGGTATGCAGTAAGTGATTATCGTACTTTGTCAAGAAATTATATATTCATTGAGTGCCCCCCTGGGTAGGACTAGAACTGGGAGCTATGGGGCCCACAGTCTCATGGGGGAGTCAGGTGTTGGCTCAAGCAGCAACAACATGCATGTATAAATATGAGGGGCGTGGTGCAGCGAGCTGGACATGGAATTGGAGGAGTCCTGGCTTCAAGTCCACCTCTGCCTCTGAGCCAGAGTAAGATGTTGGGCGAACTATTCCCCCTGTAGGCCACGTTCCCTATCTGTTCAGAGAGGGTAGGGGTACTACCCCAATTCACAGGGCCATTGCAGAGATGAGGACAAAATAGCATAATGCAGGGGCGGGTGTTTTTGTCAATGAAAAAGTGATGGGCAAGATGAGGAGTGGTTAAAATACTACAAAAGGAGAAATGATAAATACCACTAGAAAGGTATAGTTTCACCTGACCGTTTAGAGGCAAATCCAACTTTGAATTGAGAACTGTCACAGAAAAGGTGGCATTCAGAGGAAATGTGGAGATAGGAGGGAGGCATTCCAGGCCTAGGGCATGGTGTGTGCAGTAGGCCTGGGACGGAGTGAGTTGTGTCCGCTGGACCGGAGTTCAGGGTGCAGACGGTAAGGCTGGAGGAGAAGGTGGAGCTGAGTGTCCTGGGCTGAGCTTTGTTTTCAGCCCACGGCAAATCAGGACCACTGAGCAAGGTTGTAAGTTATGTGTATCCTAGAGAGCTTCGGGGACTTGAGAACTGAGAAGGGCCATGATCCGAGTTTGCTTTGCGATCTGGCAGAAGTAGGTTGAAAGCATGGACAAACCAGAGAAAGACAATCATTTTTTTAAAAAATGGGTTAAGACCATCAACAGGCAATTCACAAAAGAGGAAACCTAGGTGGCCAAAATGTAAAGAGATGTTCAACCTCACGGGTCATGGGAGAGATGCAAATGAAAAGAGCTGTGAGACGCCATTTCACATCCTCCGGACTGGCAAGGAGTAAGCATTCTATCAATGTTGGGAGAAGGGTGGAGGGGGTGAAGAGGTGGCACCCTTGGAACCCTTGTACAGTCCTGATGGAGGTGTAAATTGGTACAACTTCTCTGAAGAAGAGGTTTGGCAACATCTAATAAAGTTGAAGATGCTCGTGCCTACAATTCAGTGACTTCACTCACTCAGCACATAATTATGAAAAATGAGGAATTGATTAATTGTCCATCAACAGCAGTGCAGATAAATTGTGATCTATCTGTGCAATGGAATAATATACTGGGAGGGAAAATAAAATGAGGCTGTAGCCTCAACATAGATAAGAGTCTAGAAAAAAAAAAGAAAAAGGGAACATCAAGTGGTAGAATAGTGTGATACCAAAAGTTTTTTTTTAATTCAAAACTATGCTATATATGTAGTTTTAGGGATACAGTCAGATAGTGAAAGTGTGAAAACATGCATAAGAAATCAAAGACACTAAATTTAGAATAGTAGTTACCTCTGGGAAGGGAGGGATGGGAATGAGATCAGAAAGAGGAACACAGGCGATTTAATTTTATCTGTAATGTCCTATTTTTCAGAAAAAAAAATCTGAAGCAAATATGGCAAGGTGTCAAGATTTGGCAAAGCTGGGTGTCTTGTCTGTAATTCTTCGCAATGATCCTTCTCCTTCTCAAGTCCAAAACGTTTTCTCTATTCTCTGTATGTTTGAAATACTTGGTAATTTTAAAGATGGGGGGCGGGGGCTGGGAGATTACAGCAGAGGAGGTTTAGTCACAGCACTAACCTGTCACATATGCAGGGCCATCAGACCTCACGGTGTCCTAACATGTCTGTTCCCTGAGACTTGTCACAGCATGGTGAACCAGGCATGGCAGGCATCAGATCTGTTCACAGGGGAAAGAACAAAAGCTTGGAGAGGTGGAGTGACTTCCCCAAGGCCACACAAAGTAGGGGGAAGTACTCTTACTCTCAGCTGTGTCTCAGGGGAGACCAGCAAAGGCCAAGGAATGTCGAGAGAAGGTCTCCCACCTTGCAAGAATCCATCTTCTTCCATCTGCGGCCCTCTTCTATTTTTGCTTTCAATTAAGGACACCATGGAAAATATAGAAAAGCACAAGGAAGAAAATAAAAGTCACTTGTGGTTTTCACTGTCTTACTTTTTAAGTCAGCTTTATTGAGGTATAGGTAATTCACATTAAAAAATTCACCTATTTCAAACGTGCAACAGTACCTTAATTCTAGAGGACATATTTGTTTGAGTCCTAGACCAGTTAGTATATACGAAAGTGCTCTACAAAGAAGAAAACACTTTTCACAAATTTGAATAATTATGATTATAATAAAGGTTTTGGAAATCATTGACAATAATTATTTGGAAATAATTAAGATTTCATCCATGAAAGCAGATGGCCGGTAGGCAGGCCTGTGTTTTGTTGCCTGAATTTGGGGGTCAGTTTATTATGGCCTCAGCATGGAGGTGCTGAGAGCTTTCAAATTATAGTAGAAAGGATGACTTTTAACACCATTAAAAAAAAAAAAAAGAAATAGTTGACAGGGTCAGACTGTGGCCTATTGAAGTGCTTGTGGCCTTTGTTGGCTGCTAAGCCATAAACACCTTTACCTGTGGCTTTTGTGGGGAAAGGAGAGACATCAAGTGTCTGTCCTCTTTGGGAGCCCAGGAGCGCCTCCATTGGGATGTAGGAGATCCTGTTGACCCTCCCTGCAAGCTTGCTATAGAACCAGGGGTGGGTCCCTTCTCTTCTCTGATTTGCTCTCCCCATCTGTTAAAAATAAAGTACGGCTTTATTCACACTTGCAACATTCAGCAGCCGGTTAGGGCAATGTGCTGTAGGCAGGTACCCCTAGGAATAAGGGTCAGGGCAGAGGGAGATGTGCTATAAAGATAAATAAATCCCAGTCGTTGGCATCAAGAAGCCCATATCCGGCAGGAGGGCTGGCGGACAGACACATCAACAGGTCACTGTGATAGTCTGTTAAGAGATGGGATCAACCAACACTCAGGATTGTCAGAAAGTTTATTTTTTTGCCAATACAAACTTTGTATTTCTCATTGTGTTTCAATTTTTATTACTGTAATTACTATTAAAAATTTTTCACGTATATTAAAAACAGAAAAAAAAGAAATGGCTCAAGACAAGGAGTGGTTGTTTCTCAGTAAATACCCATGATCTCTAAAGTGCCTCTGACTGCAAAAGTATTTGATTCTATGAACTTAATCTGAGCTTTGTTTCTCCCTCACTGGGTAACCTTGAATAAATCACTTCTCCGGTCTGGGCTTCAGATTTACTCACTGGTCAAAGCATAACGTTTAAACAAATGAGTAGTTCCCAATCTTGCTGCACAAAGGATCTTATATAAAGATTTGAGGGACTTCCCTGGCTGTCCAGTGGTTAAGACTCCAGGCTTCCACTGCAGGGGGCACGAGTTCTATCCCTGGTCATGGAACTAAGATTCCACATGCCGCAGCACCGCCATAAAAGAGATTTGATCCACCAAACATCGCATTTATTATGTGAGTTATTTTGTTTTCTTTTTTATGAATTAGGTCCATATATTATATTCAATCAGAGATTTTGATTGGTATGATACAAATAATGTGATTATAAAAGACAGAATTAGATAAATAGATAAGTAAATTGAATAAGTCAATAGAATTCTAGCCCAAAGCAAGGGCACTGTGTCTTTTGTTAATCTATGCCATTGTACAACAGATACTTCTGGGGAAGAGTAAAGATATCTTTCAAATTATCCCCATATTAAAATACAGAGGAGAATTTTATTAGTGAATTCCAGTATTTACAAGGCATCTTTTCTAGAATCAAGCAACCCGTGAGTCTGTCAACTTGGTGGCTGGGCGCCCAGCCCCAAGCTGAGCAGATAGGAAACAGACAAGAACTGGTCCCCAGGAGCCAACCCCTTGCTGGGCATTTCATGAAGGAGACAAACTATTAACTGCTCAAGAAATAATCAGAGGAGAGCAAAAAAGAAGACAGTGGATATCACATGATCATTTGTATGATTCAGCTAGTAGAATGGAGGTTTGAACCCAGTTAGTTCTGGCCAGCAAAGCACAGGGAGATCAGCTCGGTGCTTTGTGTCCACCTAGAGGAGTGGGATATAGAGGGTGGCAGGGAGACACAAGAGAGAGGAGATATGGGGATGTATGTATATGTATAGCTGATTCACTTTGTTATACAGCAGAAACTAACACACCATTGTAAAGCAATTATACTCCAATAAAGATGTTAAAAAAAAAACAAACCAGTGGCCATCCCACTGCCCCACCCTTCCTCCTTGCTTCATGATAGGAAGATAATCATGATAATCATCAGCGTTGCTAGAGAGCACACCACGTGCCAGGCACTGCGCTGGGTTTCACATGTGCTATTCTTAACCCAGTTTACTCATGAGGAACCTGGTAAAGGTGGGAGAGCTGAGCCACAAACCCAGGCAGGCTGGGTCCAGAGCCTTTGACAACCATGCCCTTCTGCCCCTATGAATGCTATTTGGTCTTGTAGCTTCTTATGCAATTAAGACACCGTAGATACATCATACAATGATATTTCATCTTGCACTAATACTTCATATATGAATAGCTCTTTGGAGTTTACACAGGGTATTTTCACATCTCCCATTCCATCCCCACAGCAACGCTACAAGATGAACAAGGCTAGGATTATGAATCCCCCATTTTGCAGATCATGAAACTGAGGTTAAGGAGGTTGAGTGAGGTACCCGAGGTCATGCAGCTGGAAGGTATTAGACACAAGTCTCAGGGTCAGGTAGTCACCACTGGAGAGGACCTTCCACGTCACATTACCCAACTGCTCATGTTCAGTTAGGCAAACTGGTACCTGGAGAGCAGGTGAGGCTTGCTCAAGGTCATCCAGGAAAGACTTGTTCAAGTGGTAAATTAGCAAATGAGCCATACTTTGATCAAGGTTTCTGCCTGCCTGCTGAGAGATTTACACCCTGTTGCTTTTGTCAGATCTCCAGCAATCCTCTTGGGTTTTCCTACAGCCAAAATTTATTTTAAAACCCTTCTTGTTCAGTGTTCTGTGATATATGACATTCTCCTGAATTTCTGAGGGAGTCCTTGCCTGGGTGGGGGAATGTCTAGGTGACAATCAGCTTGGAGAGGCCGTGAGTCTCTAGCGATTTAAAGAGAATCTTCGCGCTTTTGCTGCTCTCAGAAGAAACTCCCAAGGCTGCTCTCTCTCTGTGGTCTGTTCTGCTCCCTAACCTTTGGGCCTAAACTGGGGCAATGGCTTTGAGAGGTTTAGCTGGGACCACTTGGATCTGTGTCTTACAGCTGCCCCTTCCAAGATTACAGTTCAAGATCCCATACATCTCCTGCCATGGACAGGAAACATCTGGGCCAGAGCTGCGTGGAGGGAGCCCAATTTGTGAGACACCCTGGGTAGGAGCCCGTGAGCCAAGAGCTGTTCACTTCAGATGCGGTTCAGACCACTGGGGTCTGGATGCCACCTGGGAGGCTTCGACAGGCCCAGGGTGTGTGTGATGGCTGAGGTGGGGGTGGATAGAGAAAGGGAGAGGGAATCCGGAGTGGTAGGCTTCCAGGAAAGAGGCCCTGGGACTTAGGTTGGTGGGAACAGTAGGCACAGTAGGCACAGCCGAAAGAGAGATGCTGCGGCAGTTGGACATAAAAAGGTCAGGGGCTGGGGGTGGCCACCGGGAAAGGGAGAGGCAGGGACAGGACTCCGCAGCGAGGGGTCTTGTATATCCAGGTCGCAGCGGGAACAGAGAGAGCACAGGCTCAAACCATGAGTGATCTGTTCGCAAGCCCTTCACAGCCAACCTGGCTTTGGCAATGAACCCTTGGTGAGACCAAGGACCATGTCCTCGTCTGCAGTCAGGAGATGACCCAGTGCCAAGTTGAGTGTTTCTCACTCCAATCTCTGGTCCATCGTGTCCATAGTCACCCCCTCTGACAATCCCAGGAGGTACCAACCTGGGATGACCCTTCCATGAGGGTTAACTTTAGCACCCAGTTATTTAATCAAATGTGGATCTAGGTGGGGCTGTGAAGGGATTTTGTAGTTGTGACTAACATCTACAGGCAGTGCAGATGACCCTGGTAGTGTGTGGGAGGGCCTCATCCAATCACTTGGAGGCCTGAAGAGCGAACACTGATGTTTCCCAGAGAAGAAAAGCTGTGTCAAGAGCACAGCGTCAACTCGGGCCTGCGTTTGAGCCTGTGAGCCTGCCCTGGACTTGGCAGTCACCCCATCCCGTGAGCCAGTTTCTTAAAATAAAGGTATTTCTTTTAAAAACTGTATATACATATTTATTTTATAGCTATCTACCATCTATATCTATCTATGTGTCCATCTATGTGTCTATGTCTGTATCTATCCTCTCTGTATCTATCAATCAATCTACCTATCTTTGTATCTATCAATGTATGTATCTATGTACCTAGGTACCTATCTATCTATCTCCATCGGTTCTGTTTTTCTGGAGAATCCTGACTGATGATCCCTCTTTCAGAGCCTTGAGAACAGATCACCGATCAGACTCTTCCCAGACCATCTCCTGGCACATATTCGGGTCCCCTTATTCCCCTCCCTCCTGCCCCTCTGTCCGTGTACTCCAGCCCGTTGCTCCTTCAGCAGTCCACACCCATGGGTTTTACCTCAGCCTCCATCTCGACACTCATAACCCTTAAAAGGCCAGAAGGACCCAGATGAGGATGGAATCCCACAGAAGAGCAAGCTTGGTAGCAGCTTGAAGGGCTGAGAGGTCTGGACCAAGGGCGCAGCCCTGGGAGCCACAGGAACCCCAGCTAAGGGAATGCTGCAGGCAGTCTGATCTGGGGCCCTCTGCTCAGAGTGATTTTGACCTCCAAGGGTCCTCTCAACACTCACTCAAGAGTCAGTCCCAGGAGGGAGGATCTGATTGGCGGAGGTTGTATTTCACATGTGCCTATCCACTGTCTGGGCAGGAGATGCTGGGGAAGCACTGGGTCTCACTAGGCTTACATGGTGACGGAGCCGTGGGAGGTGGGTGCTAGTTTCCCTTCCTCACAATGGGC